GGTGTAGCCTCCCTTAATATTCACTAAGTTTATTTGGACCCCGGCTTAACCCTTTTTGGAGATTGAGACTGCGTACCCATAACGGCAGAGGGAGGAGACTGGGAGGATGACCGGCGACAGTGGCAACCAACGTCAACATCAACACACAGTTAGCAAACACCGAGGCCGAACAGTAGGAATGACAGGTTTTCGTTATAGAGACACAACGAGGGAACTGAACTGCGAGATTTACTCTGCAGCCAGGTACCCCGCGGACTCCTCCCTGTACATTGCATACCAAACCAAGGTGTAGCTTCACTGTAGGTGTTGACTAGATTGGGCCGCTGCCTCCAGATCCGCCGTCTCCCCCCTCATCCCCGAGATGGTATAGCTTGTACCTATAAGTTGGGGTGCCTGGCTTCTCAGTCTCTGCGATTATTTTAGATATGGCTCGGTTCTCCTCCTTTCTGCTTCTGAGTGTCTAACTGCCTTCTTAGCTAAAATTCTACCTTATTTATACCCTTCCAGCAAGCCCCTATATCCTCCAAAGCATGAGAACACATCAGGTTTGCAAAATAGTTACTTCTGCCTATTACATATTATATACATTTTAGTATGACTTTCCCATAAGGAGCTGTACTAAGCGAGTGCAACTAATCTCTCCTATATAAACAACAGGGCTGAAAATAGTGTAATTAGGCCGGACCTCGTCACAGCCTTCCTTGTCTTAAGATCCCTTCGACTATAATAGTATACTTTAACCCATCCCTTGCTTATACTACAATATTACATGACCTGAGGCTGGGAGCAGGGCTGTGTGGCATGAAAGGGGTTACTAGAAATAGGCACAGGCTTTCATTGTCTGGAATTTGTCAGTGAAGTTAAAAGAGATTATTTAACCCTCTACTCTCCCTCGGGTTTATGCCCATTAGAGATATGAGTAGTAGAGTGGATGTTTGAGGGTAAATGGGTTAAATGGAAATAGAATAATAGTTGTTCTTCTACCCTCGTAAGAGGGCCTACTTAAAGTGCCTTTTCGTCACAATATCAATCAGACTTTGGATTAGTCTTTAACATAACTTTGGCCAGCAAATTTACTCGATTTTGTAGTTGCAGCGATAAACCAATTCCATTTTATGTCTCGTGTCGCAAATAATACTAAAAAGGCACAATAAATAAGATTGATTAAATACATGAATCTGAAACAAATACAATTCATGGAGTATATAACCCCCAATATAACTTTTGAAACAGAGGTGAAGGAAAATCGATGAATCAAGATTCAGTGATGCAATTCTGTGCTCATCTTAAGTGGTGCACGTCGAAAAAACTCTCATCGAGATTAATTTGCTTGAAATGCGATTCATTTGAGAAACTTGGGTTACGAAGAAGAACAGAAATCAGACTCTTATTTAGCAAAACAATTCCCTGTTTTTCTTGTTATGGGTATATCGCTGAATTATATTCTCAATGATGTTTCTGCCTTTGACCGAGAGCCGCGATGCGGGGCACCTGTAATCAATCATATGCCATTGTTACGTCACCAGTGAATGGTCAATTTAAAGCGGCTGACCAATAGCGTCATAATAGAATTTACTTTCTAGTCAGCCGACAAACTCTCGACCAATCACAGCTTGAGAAAACGCCCAGTTAGTGGATTGGATATCCAATAATACTGTTATTCTATGTAGTGAAACCTCGGCCCATCAATTTGTGTGCATTTTTTTTATTTATGTCATGATCATAATTTTAACACCCATCTTTTTAAGAGAAGATTATCATTATTTTGTCTGTTGATTATTTATATGATTATTTTGTTGTTTGTCTGTCTGCCTGTTTTTTGAGTGATTTAGTATATGATTATATCATTTCGTATAGACATGTTTGTTCATTATATATCTTTTCACTTTTAGTAACAATTAACTCATATTTGTTATACAATGAAGCTAACATAAATGTACCCCAAAAATTCACGACTTCGATGATAAACAAAGGCAGATTCCTTTGATGAGTATACTATGAGTATATCACCGACCTTTTCAACCGTTTCCATTCACAACACTGAAACAGGTATTGAAGACGCATCCTGCACCGGCGGTGGCGTGTACTTCGGTAAGTTCTTTCTTACGTCATCATATTCTTTGTTACGTCATCAGAGCAAGACGCAAGGTTTATAAGGAGAGCGGCTTATATAATAGACTGGACTTTGATCTTTTCACGGACGAACTCTTGACCAATCATGGCTCGATAACCGTTTACACCTTTTTAAAGGGAGGCGGGAAGACGGATTAAGAAACAAAACATTGTTTTCAATCTAAAGAGCTGTTGTTAAAAACACTGAACTCAGACAGCTCCTTGAACTGAATATCCCAATAAATTGATAACAAAATTATAACTTACATATATATCAAAAATTCTAAGTTTATTTTCACTGAGGCCTATATGGACAGTATTCTTATCCCAGATGATCGACAACAAAACCTTTGCAAAGCAATGTATTTCACCATCTCCCTCTCTGTCCCCCCCCCCCTTTGTTGTCCCTGTCCATCTCTCTCTCTCTCTCTCTCTCTCTCTCTCTCCCTCTCTCTTTCATTAAATATATCTCCCTCGCTGTTTTGTCGATCGTCTGGGATAAGAATACTGTCCATGGAAATATACTTAGAATTTTAAAATTTAAAATTTTCAGTTTCCCTTGTAAACATATTTTCACGTTAATTTGACCTTTATTTATTACATTTCATTCATCTAGTTTTCTCAATTTGATAGTTGTATTTTTTTTCCTTATAATTGTTAATGCGTGTTTTTCGTTACCTATGTTTAATTATTGTATATACCATGTATATTTTACCTTTGTATGTATGTTTTGAATTCATGTTATTATTGTACATGTTTCGATGTGAATGCAGGGCTCTCTGGGAGAGCAGGTTCAGAAATGAACTTGAATGAGACCACCCTGCTAAAAAAAAACTATACTAAATAAATAAATAAATATATGTTATTTCTAATTTTGTTATTGATACAAGAAATAAGAGAGAGATTGAAAGAGAAGAGCAAGAGAAATGAGGAGAGGGAGAATGGATTTATAGATGGAGAGATAAAGAGAGAGAGAGAGAGAGAGAGAGAGAGAGAGAGAGAGAGAGATACAAAAAGGGAGAGATGGAATGAACTTCACCGTCAGTATAGTTTAGCCCCATACTGTTGTATTTAATTCTGGTGCTCGGATACCGGGATTTGACGGCTTCCGTGGCTTACGTGGCAACCTGGTTGACGTGGCATTTAATACACTTAGAATAAACTTATGCTAAACTGCGCTCAAGTAAATGGTCTTTTAATGCCTGACACCAAGACACATGAGATGTATTATTTTTTAATGAATTAGGATACCGTTTCGATTATTTACATGGCACTACAGGTATATTATTTCCAGTCTTAAATGATAACGATACAGTGCTGTGAATCCTCAATATGAAATTATATACAAAATACATCAATTCATTGCCAACAGGGGGTTTGTGAGCTTCGTATAAAAAAAATTTAAAGAAGAGGTAGAAAACATTTAGAAGAATACATAATTTAGCCACAAAAATAATATTGTCCTAAATAAGATTATTTTCTCAACAATAGTGTATTACGTAAAATTGAAAAAAAAAGCTTATATTATATGCTTCTTTTTTTTTCTTTCTTCTTTTTAGCTCACAGTCAGCTGTTTCTAATCTTATGTGACCATTTATATTCCAAGAAATATATATTTTAAGTGTCCTTGAGAGTAATATGTTTATGTGATTTTTGCTCGCTGTTTTTTTTTTCATTTTGAGTGTTTGTATTCCCATGCCCTCTCTCCTTATTCTTAATTGCCATCGACTCCACCGTATGTTCTTTTTTTAAAACCCAAGTCACAGTTAGGAAAGAAAGGGTTAATCTAGTCATAACTCTCCTGTTACCCTGGAAACGGGCCCGGCTACTGACACAAAACAAGAACATGGGTCAACAAATTCCCCTCGATTTCGTGTAAAGCGTTGGTGGTATAATGGTTAGCATAGTTGCCTTCCAAGCAATTGATCCGGGTTCGATTCCCGGCCAACGCACATATATTTTTCTTTCTTTTTTTAGTTTTTTGTGGAAGTAGAATATTCTTAAGATTAGCGAGTATCTAAACAAATGCGTTAAATAATAATATTATCACCTATGAGGCGTACACAATTTCTTGTAGACCTGACTCCCTTTCTTTCTGTCATTCACTCTCTCTCTCACTCACTCTTATTTCTGTTTCTCTTTCCAAGATCGTGTTTCTCTCCCATTCTTTCCTATGTCCCCGCCGCTATATCTCGCCCTTCTTAATATCACATCTCTCCTTCTCCATCTCTCTCGCGCTCTCCTGCTATTCAATATCCAAACTTCCCACCTGTAATACATCACTTTATATTTATCTCCCTCTATAATGCGAACTATTCTATCTTTCTTAATATTCTCTTTCCATCACTTCTTTCTCCTTTTCTATTTTCTCACATTCCATTTAACAATGTACATTACCCGTTTTACCTAGTAAAATGATTTACCTTCGCTCTTCAGCTCTAGTTGAGATAAGACGATCCTAACAATTTGCAACAAATCAACGCAAGGATCAATTTCAATACCCTTGTACGTAACTGTATTGACCCCAAATTTCTGATGATGGAAAAGGCTATTAAATTTGCCTTTGGTTTTTGAAAGTATCGACCGTGCTTATTTTTAATGTGTCATTCAACATCTTTCTTGGTTTTGCTCTCATTGTGTGCTAAATACGACTAACAAAGAGGCAAAAACACACAATAAACAAGCTTAGAGTGTTTAAATTTAAAAACGCATTTATTCAGATTCATGAAATATAAAACAACTAATATGTTGCCTATACATGGAGCACCATCTAAAAAGAACTTGAATTGCACGAAATAATTCACATGAGTTCGACAACTGAAGTAACCATTACAGTTTTTTGAGAATATGAGTTCTGATATAGTCTAGTAGACTCGTCAGCTAGGTGGCTATCCTCTCAAGTCTGGCACCGGGAAATGCATCTTGTAGTGCCTGTTAAGACTGCAGCGGCGTCTGAAGTCTCTTTCACATGTTCCGAACGAACATCGATACGGCCGCTCTCCTGTGTGAACGGGACGATGCCTGATCAACGAAGACGGACAGTCGAAGAGCATCGGGCAGTCCTGGCAGCAGTAAACATGATATCCGGTGTGAACGCGGCGATGAAGGCGAAGGTGTATTTTCTTGGCGAACGACTCGGGGCATGATGGACATTGGAAACGTTGATCGGGCGAAGGCGGAGGTGACGGGGTGCTTCGCTTCCTCGGCGGAGATGACGACGGGGATGACGTCTTTGACGAAGCTCTCCTACGATCTGCTACGAGGCTCGGCGTGGGTGTCGACGACGGTATCAACCAGTTGACGACTGAGGGTTGATCAGTTTCAGACGCCTTCACCTGTTGCGGTCGTGAACTCCTCTTGCCTTCCACCAAAGGTCTATCGGGAGCTCTTGTAGCCTGGCAGAGGGGACAGTTCGAGACATGGCAGTTAAAGATGCTCGAGGTTGGTTGTCGACGATGTCGAGCCGTGATGACGGAGGCGATGGCCTTGTTGAAGTCGGGTTCGTGTATCTCGACAGGGATGGGCATGGTGGCACTCCCGGTCACCGGGAAGAATACGGGTAGAGTGGTCCGCAGGGGGTTGGCAAGGAGAGGAGTCGACCTGAAAGGGAAAAAAAGAGAGAAGAAAATTACGATATGATTACACATGTCAGCAGGGAAATTCATTAAACATTAAACCAAAACAGAAAAAAGGATTATTTCTTTGCTTTCAAACAAGGATGAAATCCTAAAGGAAAAACAGCAATTTTTTTGTTTAATGCTTTAACATTAAATGAGACATGTGTTTCACAAAGAAGACAAAAAACACTATCCTGAGTTTTCCTGACCATTTCGTGCTATGTCGTTCTGTTTTAAATGCTAGATTATTTAGTGTGTAAGAAATATGTGTAAAAAATGTCAAATTCAATACTTACTCCATATAGGCTATGGGTGAGATCCTTATCGTAGTCGAAACAGTGACAAACGTATTTTCCAAAGATTTTCCAAAGAGTTGAACCGGTAAATAAGCCTTCCTCGATTAGCAGTCAAGAGTCAGAATGGTATTTTGTGTCACTTTTACCTTGTATTTATTTGATTACATTCAAACTCGGTAATCTCTTGAAGTCAGTGATTGGTCGAGAGTTTGCCCAGTAGGTGCCGCTTGATAACTGGCTGTTGAAACGGACCAATCAGAGAGGAGAACTAATTATCGCTATAGAAATCTCAGTCTTTTGTCGCCGCCCACTATCAACGCGCGCAACAATAGCTTATAAGTTGCCTCTCCTTTTCAACGATCTATGATCGCGGATTTGATTTAATTCTTTGTCTGGAAGGAATTACTATTATGTAAAGTGCCGGGTGAACATTAGATACTCTTTGTTATATTCGTATTTTTTTTTAGAAATCTCAATTAAAATCTGATCACAGTAAATTTTTCAGTCAGGTTTGCCCAATATGACAATCTAAAGTGTACAATCGTATTCCCAAAAAAATTAGCGCGACGTAAACAGAATGTCAATGAGAGATAACAGTTTAATATAAAAGTGCCAGTAATGCCATTCAATGACATTTGTTCATTCATTTTCCATTCGACCAAAATAAAGTTACTATTCAATACCTTATACCGGTAATCTGAATATAATGATATTTATGTATCATAGTATAGGTAGGCTATTACATTTTCATCAGATTGTCCAGACTTATTGTATATTACACTTCGGAGCTTATAACAAACAAGTGCGGAATAATTATGTGTTCTTGTTTTTTTATTTCATTGTTTGTTTTTGTTTTGAGACTTCATCATATAAATCAGACTTTAGATTAATCTGTGACATAACTGCGAGCCAGCACAATTTACTTAATTGGGTAGTTATAGAGATAAACCAGTTCCATTTTATTTCTCGTGTCGCAAATAATACTAAAAAGGCACAATGAACAAGATTGATTAAATACATGAATCTGAAACAAATACAATTCATCGAGTATATAACCCCCAAAATAACTTTTGAAACAGAGGTGAAGGAAAATCGATGAATCAAGATTCAGTGATGCAATTCTGTGCTCATCTTAAGTGGTGCACGTCGAAAAAACTCTCATCGAGATTAATTTGCTTGAAATGCGATTCATTTGAGAAACTTGGGTTACGAAGAAGAACAGAAATCAGACTCTTATTTAGCAAAACAATTCCCTGTTTTTCTTGTTATGGGTATATCGCTGAATTATATTCTCAATGATGTTTCTGCCTTTGACTGAGAGCCGCGATGCGGGGCACCTGTAATCAATTATATGCCATTGTTACGTCACCAGTGAATGGTCAATTTAAAGCGGCTGACCAATAGCGTCATAATAGAATTTACTTTCTAGTCAGCCGACAAAATCTCGACCAATCACAGCTTGAGAAAACGCCCAGTTAGTGACGCGACAATAGGTTATGATCACAATTGCTGTTGATTGTAGGATTGAGCGGAATGACGTTTTATTTAAGGGTTGAACGATCTTTTCTCTTCCATACTTATTTGTTATAAAATGATGCAAACAAAGTGAATAATTATTATAATTGGGAGTTTCTGACATACACAAGAAAGGGATATCCAATAATACTGTTATTCTATGAAGTGAAACCTCGGCCTATCAATTTGTGTGCATTTTTGTATTTATGTCATGATCATATTAACACCCATCTTTTTAAGAGAAGATTATCATTTGTCTGTTGATTATTTATATGATTATTTTGTTGTTTGTCTGTCTGCCTGTTTTTGAGTGATTTAGTATATGATTATATCATTTCGTATAGACAAGTCATGTTTGTTCATTATATATCTTTTCACTTTTAGTAACAATTAACTCATGTGTGTTATACAATGAAGCTAATATAAATGTACCAAAAACATTCACGACTTCGATGATAAACAAAAGCAGATTCCTTTGATGAGTATACTATAAGTATATCACCGACCTTTTCAACCGTTTCCATTCATAACACTGAAACAGGTATTGAAGACGCATCCTGCACTGGCGGTGGCGTGTACTTCGGTAAGTTCTTTCTTACGTCATCGTATTCTTTGTTACGTCATCAGTGCAAGACGCAAGGTTTATAATGAGAGCGGCTTATACAATAGACTGGACTTTGATCTTTTCACGGACGAACTCTCGACCAATCATGGCTCGATAACCATTTACACCTTTTTAAAGGGAGGCGGGAAGACGGATTAAGAAACAAAACATTGTTTTCAATCTAAAGAGCTGTTGTTAAAAACACTGAGCTTAGACAGCTCCTTGAACTGAATATCCCAATAAATTGATAACAAAATTATAACTTATTCTAAGTTTATTTTCACTGAGGCCTATATGGACAGTACTCTTATCCCAAACGATCGACAACAAAACCTTTGCAAAGCAATGTATTTCGCCATCTCCCTCACTGCCCCCCCCCCCCCTTGTTGTCCCTGTCCATCTCTCTCTCTCTCTCTCTCTCTCTCTCCCTCGCTCATTCATTAAATATCTCTCCCTCGCTGTTTTGTCGATCGTCTGGGATAAGAATACTGTCCATGGAAATATACTTAGAATTTAAAATTTAAAATTTTCAGTTTCCCTTGTAAACATATTTTCACGTTAATTTGACCTTTATTTATTACATTTCATTCATCTAGTTTTCTCAATTTGATAGTTGTATTTTTTTCCTTATAATTGTTAATGCGTGTTTTTCGTTACCTATGTTTAATTATTGTATATACCATGTATATTTTACCTTTGTATGTAACTATGTATGTTTTGAATTCATGTTATTATTGTACATGTTTCGATGTGAATGCAGGGCTCTCTGGGAGAGCAGGTTCAGAAATAAACTTGAACGAGACCATCCTGTTAAAATAAAACTATACTATATAAATAAATAAATATATGTTATTTCTAATTTTATTATTGATACAAGAAATAAGAGAGAGATTGAAAGAGAAGAGCAAGAGAAATGAGGAGAGGGAGAATGGATTTATAGATGGAGAGACAAAGAGAGAGAGAGAGAGAGAGACAAAGAGAGAGAGAGAGAGAGAGAGAGAGATACAAAAAGGGAGAGATGGAAAGAACTTCACCGTCAGTATAGTTTAGCCCCATACTGTTGTATTTAATGCTGGTGCTCGGATACCGGGATTTGACGGCTTCCGTGGCTTACGTGGCACCCCTGTTGACGTGGCATTTAATACACTTAGAATAAACTTATGCCAAACCGAACTCAAGTAAAATGTCTTTTAATGTCTTACACATAGACACATGAGATGTATTATTGTGTAATGAATTAGGATACCGTTTCGATTAGTTACATGGCACTATAGGATGATAATTTCCAGTCTTAAATCATTACCTCTGATGGAATCATAACGATACAGTGCTGTGAATCCTCAATATGAAATGATATACAAAATACATCAATTCATTGCAAACAGGAGCTTTGTGGGCTTGGTATAAACAAATTTTAAGAAGAGGTAGAAAGCATTTAGAAGAATACATAATTTAGCCACAAAAATGATATTGTCCTAAATAAGATTATTTTCTCAACAATAATGTATTACGTACAATGGATAAGAAAAGCTTATATTGTATGCTTCTTTTTTTTTCTTTCTTCTTTTTAGCTCATAGTCAGCTGTTTCTAATCTTAAGTGACCATTTATATTCCAAGAAATATATATTTTAAGTGACCTTGAGAGTAATATGTTTATTTGATTTTTGCTTGCTGTTTTTTAAATTTTGTATTGTGTGTGTTTGTATTCCCATGCCCCTCTCTCCTTATTATTAATTGCCATCGACTCCACAGTATGTTTTTTAAAACCCAAATCACAGTTAGTGAGGAAAGGGTTAATCTAGTCATAAGTCTCCCGTTACCCTGGAAACGTCAGAATCCCCGCTACTGACACAGGACACGAACATGGGTCAACAAACTCCAACTGATATCGTGTAAAGCGTTGGTGGTATAATGGTTAGCATAGTTGCCTTCCAAGCAATTGATCCGGGTTCGATTCCCGGCCAACGCACAGATATATTTTTCTTCCTTTTTTATTTTTTTGTGGAAGTAGAATATTCTTAAGAATAGCAAGTAATTAACAATTGCGTTAAATAATAATATTATCACCTAAGAAACGTGCACATTTTCTTGTAGGTCTGACTCCCTTTCTCTCTGTCTGTCTGTTTCTCTCTTCCTCATTTCTGTTCTCTCTTTTTCTTTTTTATGTCCCTGCCGTTCTATCATACCCCTTCTAAATCTCACATCTCTCTTTCTCCATCTCTCGCGCTCTCTTGCTATTCAATGTCCAAACTTCCCACCCGTAATACATCACTTTATATGTATCTCACTCTGTAATGCGAACTATTCTATCTTTCTCAATTATCTTTCCATCTCTGCTTTCTTTTTTTAAAAGATCGCTCCATTCGTATTTTCACATTCTATTCAACAATAAACATAAGGCTTTTCACAAAGTAAAATGATTTACTTTCACTCTACAGCTTTAGTTGTGGTCGCAACCACTTTCAACAAATCAACGCAAGGGTCATTTTCAATATCCTAATACGTAACTGTATTGTCCCACATTTATAAAGATGGAGAAGGCTATTGAAATTGCCTTTGATTTTTCGAAAGTATCGACCGTGCTTAATCTTAAGGTGTCATTCAACATCTTCCTTCTTTTCCTCTCATTTTGTTTTAATTACGACATACAAAAACACACAATAAACAAGCTCAAAGTATTTAAAGTTGAAAACGCATTTATTCAGATTCATGAAACATAAACAAATTGAATATACTGCTCAAACATGGAGCATCATCTAATAAGAACTTGAATTGCACGAAATAATCCTCATGAGTTCGACAATTGAAGTTAAGAATATGAGTTCTGAAATACTGTCTGGTCACGACTCGTCAGCTAAGCGCTATCCTCTCAAGCCTGCCACCGGGCAATGCATCTTGTAGTGTCTGTTGAGGCTGCTGCGGCATGTGAAGTCTCTTTCACATCCCTCGAACGAACATCGATACGGCCGCTCTCCGGTGTGAACGCGACGATGCCTGATCAACTGTGATGAACAAGCTAAGACCATCGGGCAGTCCTGGCAGCAATAAACATGACGTCCGTTGTGAATCCGGCGATGAATACGAAGATGTATCTTCGTGGCGAATGTCTTTGGACATGATCGACACTTGAAGCGGTGATCAGGCGAAGGCGGAGGTGACGTGGCGAATCGCTTCCTTGGTGGAGATGACGTCCGTGACGAAGCTCTCTTACGATCCGCTACGAGGCTCGGCGTTGGTGTCGACGACGATATCAACCAGTTGACGACTTTGGGTTGATCAGACGCCTTCACCTGTTGCGGTCGTGAACTCCTCTTGTCCTCCACCGAAAGTCTATCAGGAGCTCTTGTAGTCTGGCAGAGGGGACAGTTCGAAACATGGCAGTTAAAGATGTTCAAGGTTGGTTGTCGACGATGTCGAGCCCAGATGACGGAGGCGATGGCCTTACTGAAGTCGGGCTCGTGTATCTCGACAGGGATCTGCATTGCGGTAGACTATGATTGCTGAGAACCTTATCGTAGTACAAATAGTGACAAAGGAAATTTTCTAAAAGTTGAACCGATAAATGCGCCTTCCTCGATTAGCAGTCACAATGGTGTTAGTGTGTATTTTACCTTGTATTTATTTGATTACATTCACACTCGGTAATCCCTTTCAGTCAGTGATTGGTCGAGAGTTTGCCCGGTAGGTACGGGGTGATGACAGGCTGCTGAAACGGACCAATCAGAGAGGAGGATTAATTAGCGCTATAGAAATTTCAGTCTTTTGACGCCGCCCACTATCAACGCGCGAAACAATAGCTTCTAAAGTGCCTCTCCTTTTCAATGATCTATGATCGCGGATTATCATTAATTCTTTGTCATGAAGGAATTATTATTATGTAACGTGCCGGGTGAACGTTCAATACTCCTTGTTATATTCTTATTTTTTTTAGAAATCTTAATTAGAATCTGATCACAGTAAAGTTTTCGGTCAGGTTTGCCCAACATGACAATCTAAAGTGTACAATCGTATAACAAAAAATAGCGCGACATAGACAGAATGTCAATGAGAGATAACAGTTTAATATAAAAGGTGCCAGTAATTTCATTCGATGACATTTGTTCATTCATTTTCCATCCGACCCCCAAAAAGGTCTTACATTTTCATCGTTTCGTCCACTTTACCAGACTTATTGTATATTACACTTCGGAGCTTATTAAAAACCATGGTGGAATACATTTTATATTCTTGTTTTGTTTGTGTTAATGTTGAGACTTCATCATATCAATCAGACTTTAGATTAGTCTTAAACATAACTTTGAGCCAGCAAATTTAATACATTTTTAGTTACAGAGACAAGCCAGTAACATTTTATTTCTCGTGTTACAGATAATAATAATAAAAAGGAACAATGGACAAGAATGACCGCTGAAACAAATACAATCAATTCATCGAGTATATAACCCCCCAAAATAACTTTTGGAACATAGGCGACGGAAAATCGATGAATCAAGATTCATGCAATTCTGTGCTCATCTTTAGTGGTGCACACCGAACAAACTATCATCGAGATTATTTTGCTTGAAATGCGATTTATTTGAGAAACTTGGGTTACGAAGAAGAACAAAAATCAGACTCATATTTAGCAAAAGATTCCCTGTTTTTCTTCTTATGGGTATATCGCTTGATTATATTCTCGTTGATGTTTCTGCCTTTGACCGAGAGCCGCGGTGCGGGGCACCTGCAATCAATATAAGCCATTGTTACGTCACAAATGAATAGTCAATTTAAAGCGGCTGACCAATACCGTCATAATAGAATTTACTATCTAGACAGGCGACAAACTCTCGACCAATCACAGCTTGAGAAAGCGTCCACACCTTTTAGTGAATAGGTCAATAGGTTTTGATCACAATTGATGTTGTAGGATTGAGCGGAATAACGTTTTATTCACAGGGTTGAACGAACTTTTCTCTACCATACTAATTTGTTGTAAAATAATGCAAACAAAGTGAATAGTTTGGATGTATGATACTCACATTTGCGTTATTCGAGCAACAAGTCTGTTCAAACAAAGAAATTTAAAAAAAAAAAAGTATTTTGAGGCATAAAAAGTGAACGTGCATATCTATCATTAATATTCATGTCGACATGAGTAGCCCATTCATTACATTTCTTGAAATGTCATAATACAGAAACGTTTAAAATTTGAATATGTTTTATCTCAAAACACTTTTGTATTTTCCATAACCGTTAGGTTCAGATAACGTAATAGGCCATTTAAATAAGGCTTTTGAAATTTCCTTAGGTTAATTTTTCGAAAGTAGTTGGAATCGTATTTAAAAGACATTGCAAGATGAATTAAATGAGAGAAATGCTCCTTGTATTATATTAATCTACAGCATGACACACGCTGGGAATGTTTGTTTCTATTCAACATCTTTGCATTCTCATGTCGTGTCATTTTAATACATTAACAACCATCTCTTTACAAAGAGATTATCATTTGTTTGTTAATTATGTGTTTGTTTGTCTGTTTACCTGTTTTTGTGTGGTTTTTATGATGATATCATTTCTTGTAGTTATGTTTATTCATTATATATCTTTTCACTTTTAGTAACAATTAAATAATGTGTGATATACCATGTAGCCAAAATAAATGTACAACAAAAAAATCACGAATTCAATGATAAACAAAAGCAGATCCCTTTGATGAGTATACTATGAGTATATCACCCACTTTTTCAAACGTTTCCATTCATCAAACTGAAACAGTTATTGAAGACGCATGTACTGCACAGGCGGTGGCATTTATTTCGGTAATGTCTTTGTTACGTCACCGTGTTCTTTGTTACGTCATCAGTGCAAGACGCAAGGTTTATATGAGGTTACAATAGATTGGACTTTGATCTTTTCACGGACGAACTCTCGACCAATCATGGCTCGATAACCGTTCACACCTCTTCAAAGGGAAGCGGGAAGACGGATTACGAAACAAAACATTGCTTTCAATCTGAAGAGTTGTTGTTAAAAACACTGAACTCAGATAGCTCCTTGAACTGAATATCCAAATAAATTGATAATCAAATTATAATTTAAAAATAGATTTTAAATTCTAAGTATATTTCAATGAACAGCATTATTATACCCGACGATCGACAAAAAACCTTTGCAAAGCAATGTATTTCACCATCTTCCTCTTCGTTTCTCCCTTTCTTTTACTCTGTCCATTTTTTCTTCCCCTCTCTCTCTCTCATTCCCACTCTCTCCTCTACCCTCTCTCACACCATTTAGCTATCTTTAACTCTCTCTCTCTCCCTCATTTCGTATCTCTCCTCCACCCCTCTCTTTCTTTAACTACCAGGATATCTCTCTTTAAGTATCTCTCTCCCTATCTCTCCTTCTCTTTCTTCCTCTCTGATTACGCTTTCGATGACACCCGCCTCAATTTCTGTCCGAGATCCGTACCCCTCCATCTCTATCTCTGAGATTCTACCTTTCTCACATAATCTCTCTCTTCCATCTCTCTCTCTCTCTATCTCAAGTAACTGTTCATATTAGTTTCTCGTGATGTATTATTCTCTTGTCATTCCAACTACCCACTACTCATTTTCACAAAATTTTCACAAATTCAATTTGCTTAACAAGTCAAATCAAAAGTCTACCACTTTTATTGATATATCATTTGATATATATTTGCTATGTGAACGAAGTGGATTACAGTCAATTAATATATAATTCACAGGACATTATCTCGTGCTAACATAAATATTAATTCTATTTCAACATTGTGACCATAATCTAGAAAATAATATTCACAATACCGATACAACATAGAAAATGCTTGACTCTCAAGAATTAACACATGGTTTCATTGTAATCAACCGATGTCATATATAACTGTGCATTGATATTAGTGATAAAGCTTACATTTAATACAACTGTAATTAACTAGAGCTGACTTAATTTCCAATGTTGATCTCGATTGGTTATCAACTTGAACTAGTACTGTCTATAAAAAAATTATAATTGTCCACATCTTTAGTATAATTATTTAACTGTCCAAGGCTTGTACATCACTAATTAAGAGACACCATTAGTGTTTGGAAATATAATGGGGAAAAAATCATCCGTTGCTCGAAGAGAAATACATCAAATCAAATTTGTTGTGAAAACACCAGTACATAATCGGTTGGGTTAAGATATCATAATATAGCATTTCTATCCATGCAATATATATAAACAAGTACTACATCACAATAACCACACTAATCAATTGGCAGTTTGTTTCTCATCTGTACAAATGTTATTGGGCGGCTGGTACAACTGAAGACCTCAGTATCGAATGCATTACACTTATATTGCATTACATCTCCAAATTCAATTCCATGGACAGTTGTATAGAAAGCACAGTAATACATGTATTGCAATGTGAAGGTGTTCGATTCTTTAAAGCTTATCAACACTAGTGTGGCTAGGAGGGATTAGACCACACAGCGAGGTCACTGATCAACTCAGCTCTCAAATAACATAAGAAATAGAGGACCATGGGGGACCAACAGGCACCGATTGGGGAAGTTTTCTATATAGAGGGAGCAAGTAGCTACAAGTAGTGCAATGGGGCTTTAAAGCGGGAAAGATCACACGGCTGGAATGCTCCCCAGGGAGTGGAGATTGTGCACACAGTGTGTGCGGGCAAGTATTGAATCCAATGACCTGGGTAATGGTATATATGTAAAGCACTTCGAGACATCATAGATGTATTAAGCGCTATATAAAAGTGGCATTATTATTATTATTATTATTCATTTATGCCCTGCATGAAAATTTGTTGTGACGCGATACATTCCTACAAACTAATAATTAGACGTATTCACAGTAGAAAAAAACATAAATATCTTGTCTATTTGGAGCCAGAAGGGCATTACGTTATATACTTTGAACATAGAGTTAACACCCTTCGGGATCTGTACTGATGATATGACAAACAAGGAAACAACTCAAAGGAATTCATTTCCAATGAACATGCCTGAAAACTATTCTTAACTGATAATTATTCAGAGTTAACAACTAAATTATTTATTAATGTGATGCTTTTTGTATTTTTCGTAACTCAAGAATGAAAGGGAGAGAGGAAAGAGTAAGGGCCTTTGTTGAATACTTTTAGATGTAAGCTTCAATACATCACATTCTCAAAAAATATGAATTGGGACAAATCAATTTTTCATATACTTAAACAAATTACAAAACTTGGTAAGGGTATGAATACTTAAGTTGTTACCTGTATCTGTGTTAATAACAAATCCTTTTTACTTGAAATGATTGTAGGGACTAGGTACATACACAAAAAAGGAAAACTAGTGGGCAAATTATACACAAGTATCAGCTTGTTGCATTTCATGCCTGTCCAGGCCATTGTTTCATGCTATTATTAAAAGCTATCACAAATTTGTTTTTATTACTCTTTGCCAGATAATATTTATAAGTACATTCCACTATTGGATGCAAATTTTATTAGATTCTGTGAAAAATTGTGACTTTATTTAAATAGCAGTATTAAACATTTTATCCTATTCTATGAAAAATTGTGACTTCTACTTTCGTCATTTCCAGATCTCAAGATTGCTCTTACCCTCGACAATGAAAAATTAATCAACATAATTGAGCAACTGACCCAAGTTTTACTTTCAATTATCATTTGTGACATTATTAACGTTGGATTGAAACAGAGAATGATTTATACATCGTTCAGACATGAGACAGTAAAACAAGCTTTAGCGAACACCTGTATAGAAAGACCACATGTTATTGTTTCCCTTGAAAGTGGTTTCTAATGCAACCTTGGGGGCGTTTCACAAAGACTAAGATTAACTTTAAGATGGACTTAAATATGGCAGGCCGTTCATGCCACTAGTTCCTCTAACCATTCCTGGCATTGGTTTCTCAAGGGACGTACAAATCATGGTCACAAATCTACAGAATTTACATTTTTCAATCATTCATAATTGAAGGAAAAAATATTATCTAAAGATCATAATTGAGAGGCCAATAATAAAAGCAACCAGTGGCATGAATGGCCTGCCATAGTTAAATCCAACTTAAAGTTAATCTTAGTCCCCTGTATAGATAGACCTCATTTTATTGTTTCCCTTGAAAGTAGTTTCTAATGCAACCTGTACAACAGGACCACCTGCCCATAGAGACCATTTTTCTTCTTTCCCGTGAGCAGAGATGAAGATGGGAATTTGATTAGAACGTCAGAGACATTTGTCGCTGGAGCATGTCTCGTGGAACTTACACAGGATATGTTCTTGGGGCAGTCTTTGAACCAGTTTACCTCATCTGGGCCCTGTTTCATGAAACTTGTCATCAATAAAAAGCTACAATAACTGTTATAAGCTACTGAAATCATGGCATTTGATTGGCTGAGAGCAAATTTGTCATAGAAATGAAGCATATGCTATTGATAAGAAGTTTGATGAAACAGGGCCCAGGTCTGAATGGGGTTGACGAATGGGTGATGCTATTGTAATAGGTGCTGCTATCTTGGTCTGTTCTTCTCAAAGTCTTCTATGCTATTGAGGAGTCTCTGACGCGCCTTCTTGGAGCCTACAGCACAGGACACCAAGCTGCTCAGCTGCTTGGCTGAATACTCCTGCAAGAAATCAAGAGGAAGAAGATAACAATGATCACATACAATAGGCCATTTTCATACTTTCATAACAAATTGCTATTGATTTGAATCGATTTAAACTCTTTTTAAGACCGGGGCCAGGGCCGGTATTCAATTCAATACTTAGCATAAGTAAGAAACTTACTAAGTAAATGGCTAAGCTAAGAAATTTACTTATCTTGTATTCAAATCGCATTTTAGACTTATAATTACATGTATGTAAGACAAAATCTAAGTAAAAAACTAACTGATAAGCATTCTGACATCACACGGTCAATCAGAAGTAATGCACAATAAATGTGCGCTGATATAATTGTGCGCAGGTCATAATACTGCATTAAAAAACCATATGCCTGCCAATCAAGGGCTCCAAAAAATTGACTTAATTCTGGTAGGGAGCTGTCTTAAATTTAGGGTAAATTACTTACCAAAAGTTTGAATTGAATACCAAAATTGACTAAGTATTTTATTTAAGCCAAATACTAAGTAAAACGCTTAAATTTTGTACTTAAATATTGAATTGAATACGGGCCCAGGATTCTAAATTGTCACCATCAAAGCGACATATCATCATGAACAGAAGTAGGAAAAGAAAATTAATACATGGTTCAAAAGAAAGTGTGTTGACCCCTTACCTTGTGTTCCTTTACCCATAATTCCATGTCAGCCTCGGAGAGATAGTAGGCCTTCACGTAGGCTTCTACAAATTCCCGATCTGGTACGGGCCTGGAGAGATAGATAAAGATAGGCAGATACATTGTTGTGATGAAGAGATAGAATGTATTTCTACAAGGTACATGCTTTAGTATGAACTACAAGGAAATCACACATTTTGGTTAAAAGAGTCTATAACTGCTTATATTTGCAACATGTCCTTGCTAAATTCTATAAAAAAAATAAATACACACAGAAAATATAATATAATTAAGAACAGCTTCCCAAGGAAGAGAGATAGCTTGCCCGACCACTTGGAGCTGGCTATTTAATTTCCTTTACAAGGGTGAAAGAATAAATATAAAGATGCTCACAGGTTTCACGAAATTCTTTATAATAATAAATCATAAGCAAAAAGTAAGGCCTAAGACTAAAAAGAAAAAAAGCAGATAAAACAAAATCCTTTGAATCAGTATTTGCAAAACATCACACAAATTACCAATAAGTATTTCAAATCTAAAGTTGTCTTAGCACAAGCTAGAATGGTTTCACAAGCTACATGTACATCTCAATACCATTTCCTATCAAATAGTGACCTACATAGCCTGTGTCAACAAACTCATATATCATATCATCTTATCCGGGAAAACAACCCTTGTATGGAACCAACATGCATATATACATTAATACAGGGATGCCAGTTGGTTTTACTCACTGGGCCAAAAAAGAAGCCAGAATATGTGTTGTACAATATAAAGCCTGAAAAAGCCTGAAATGGGAAGTTTACAGGGCCTGAAAGCAGGCAAAAGCCTGAAGACTGGCATCTCTGTTTAATAAGACAAACTACTTTTGCCTGCAAATAAATATTCTGCATAAATTCATGAAAGATGGTAGACGATCTTACTTGACTTGTGCGATGCCCTCAATCTTGATCAGGAACTGCTGGAAGTCTAGCTGCATCAGAGCTCGACCTTCGTTACTACACTTCTTGGCACTTGCAAACCTATGGGAGGGAGCAATGAAAAGAAAGCAAAGACAAATTATCAACATGCAATTACAATATTTCAATTCTAATATCATACAAATCCAGCTCCAAACCATATTCTGTAAGCAAAGTTCTGCAACACAAGCAGGCAAAGGATTGCATATTCGCTGTTTCTACCCACAGATATTTGATGTGCCTCATGTAGCATTCTGAATCGAAAGAATTTCAATGCCAATGTGGTAGTAGTGTGTGTGTGGGGGGGGGGCGCTGTATTGTCTCAATTTCACACTACCTTCCCTCTCTCCCGTTCTCTCTCTCTCTCTCTCTCTCCCCCCCCCCCCCCCACTATCTCTCCCTCTTTTTATCACCATTTGTTTTTGTTGGGTCCCTTTGGCTAACCCTGCCTTCTTCCTGGTGGACTTTACTAGCATCAAAGGAGGCACGATGGCTCAGTGGTAGAGCAGTAGTCTCGTAACCGAGAGGTCCTGGGTTCAAAACTAAGTTGATGTGTTAGTGCCCTTTGGTGAGGCATAAATCCTTATCACCAAGTCCCTCGGAGAGAACTTAAAGCCGTCGGTCCCCTGGTTGCTTACTGACAGCATACACATGCTTTCTTAGCAGTCAGGTAAAACAAACAAATAAACAGAATAAGGGTTCTGCTCCTCAAGGTATTGAAACGTTCTTGGACTTACCCCTCTACCAAGATGCGATTAGCCAGTCTGATGACATGCTCCCATAGAACTCTGTGAGCTTCTTGTGGTATAGGTACTCTCCTGTTAGAGAAAGAGAGAGAAAGAGAAGGAGAGATAGTGAAAGAGAGAGAGAAAAGAAATTGATAGAGAGATAGACAGATAGAGAGAGGGGAGAACAGATGGAAGAGAGAGAGGGAAGAGAGAGGGAGAAACAGATAGATAGAGAGAAAAGAGAAAGTGAAAGAGAGATAGATGGATGGAGAGAAAGAGACAGGGAGGGATGTGGAGAGATAGACAGACAGAGAGAGGATAAAAGGGAGGAAGAGAGAGGGGAGAGAAAGAGATATGGAGAGACATATAGAGAGAGGAGAGAAAGTAAAATAGAGATAGATGGATGTAGAGATAGTGACAGGGAGGGACATGGAGAGAGGTTAATAATAAATAGAGATGGAGAGACAGAAACAGAAAAAAAATGAAGTAGGAGGAGAGAGAGAGAAATGAAGAGGGATACAGTTATAGAGAGGAAGAGAGAAAGTGAGAGATTAAGGAATGTTCATCTAGGTAAACATACATTGAAATGGGAACATTTTCAGATTTTCAATTTAATTCATGCACACCAAAAAACACAATCTAGCAAAATAACAAATGAATGACCAACTTGTGCATTGAAGACGCCCATTTTTAAGGATACCAAATTTCAGACATTCAAAACATAATTATTTTACAAATTGTCACTTGTTTTTCTCACTTTCACTTTTAGTAAGGAACTTTTTCTTGATGTCAAATTGTCCTGTACTGTCACCTCGCTAATTTAGTCGACACAAATATGGCATTAGAACTCTACAAATTAATACAAAATACACCAAAGTACGATTTTAAAAATCACTTACTTGTTACTCATTGCTGCTAATCTACTGCTGAATCCACTCATGTCCTGCAGGGAAAAAAGGATACTTATAGTTATGCCAAATCAAAACATAAAAGTTACACCTGGCACAATTGTTAAGAGTTGAAAAGGACTTTAGGTGTGCTGATTTTGCACTCTCAATTTTAGGTAAACTTTATTAAGAGTTATTTCACAATTTAAAAGAACAACATATAAAGCATGTGCCACATTTGTTGAAGCCATGAAGAGTGAAAATCTATAGATGTACGAGTGATTACATAACATCCCTCTGACAGTTAAACACATCCCCCAAAGTGAGTCTGAAATGGCTGCATATTTTATTATATCTCTAATCGACCCAAAAGATGGCTTGACTGCATCTCAGAGGACTGCAAAGCAAGATCCACAACAAGGCTGACAGATGCATCAAGACTGGCTGCAGACAGAAATACCTGGCATACCATCACCATGCAGAAGCCATCACGAGGCCCCTTACCTGCGTGGACGGTATAAGTCAAGTTAAGTCATGTGTATTATCTTAGACACAAGTTAATTGAATGACACTTAAGGCCATATTTCCCCCTGGTTGATTACAGTTATAAATACATAAATGAATGAAATGCATGTAAATGAATAAATAAATAAATAAATAAATGAATGAACATACAGATAAGAAAACAAATAAATAAATACATAAATGAACATGAATTTAGCAGAGAGAGTTGTTCACCTGTAGTAGAGCATCTACATAAGGGCTGTGCTGTGACATGATATCTTTGATGTCCCATCTGACCGTCAGCATGAGCTGCAGGATGCGATCATAGTTCATACAGCGAGAGGCCACGCCCCGATAGATGGGCTTACGGAGATCACTAGCGACACTCACCGTCTACCAAAACAAAATGATTAGCATCAGTATGCACATACAACAATGCACAAAGATACAGGTACATACACTGCACAACCAGAAACTTTTACAACATTATGAAACTTTCACAATTTGTAAATGATTTCAATTTTCTTGGAAAGAGACTTTCACAATTTACTCAAATTAAAGAGTTGTGATTCTTTCATTACACGGCATGAAACTTCATGCAATCGAATCAATCATGAAATATGCAAACATTTTGCAACTTTTTTGATTTTTTTTTTCTTCTTCACAGTAGAGTCATTTTAAAGTTATATTAGCGTGGATCAGTTTAAACAAGGATAAGTTATAAAGAATGAATCAGTACGACTATGCTACTAGATACCTGGGAATAAAACTGTTGAAGGAACGCTTTCTTGCTGGCTGGAATGACTGAATCCAGATGGGGTTGCAGCAGCTCAAACTGATTGGCAAGAAATATCCTGTTCACAATCAAGAGAGAGAAGGAGAAGGAAAAAACACTGTTATTTCACATTCATGCTGTGCATCGCTTCTCTAAATTGTAAAAACAAATAATAATATTTGTTTTTTAAATACCCATGCAAATGGTTCAATGGACAAATAGGAAAAATATTTAATGCTAACAGACCTTAAAAAAGTTTTTAAAAAAGAAAAATTAAAGGTTGATACAAGCTGCCTTTCAGGTTTTAAAAAAATACTACATTACATTGCCAGCCATTCCTGCCCAATATCTGCAAAGAGGTACAGATATGAATGTCAGGACTCCTGGTTAAAAATTATTTTACTTCATGGAACAGAAATGGATACATCCAACATCATTTTGTTTTAATTTCTCAGAAGATACTCAATGCCTAATTCAATTATATAAGAAGGAATCCAAACTGAAAGTAACAGTGTTTTTTTGTATAATGAATTGTATACATTGCACATGGTGGCACAAGGGTTAAAGCCACATAGTAGTAAGAGTCAATATGTATTGCATCATAATTCGCTGACATCATATTTGGTTGAATTACCAATTAATGTGTGCACAGGTCTCTCAGGCAGAGAACCCATGGTCCCATCAGAATAGACTTGCCTTCATATCAAGGGCAAGGAAAAATTGATAATATGATGGGAATTTTTGTTGGAGGTAGACTAAGGCACAGAGCATTACACAAAACCTGTTAGTCATAAAATTGAAGTCCACTCTTGGTGACTGATAACACCTAAACACCAGATAGTGTCGAATTCCCAATGAGAACCCATTACGATAGGCCATTACAGGTCGATATACTCACAGAGACTCAGTACCAACGACTCTTTCAGCAAGACTATACAATCCATCGCTACTATTCAGGTCAACGATGGGAGAGACATGGGGAAAGCCAACTTTCATCTGTTCATCATGAGGGTAGATTGGACAAGAAATAGAAAGAGAAAGCATGGACAGGGGTAATTAAGGGAAAAGCATGATGAGAATATTGTTCATAAAACACTTCAAACATTCATAAAAGCATTACAGATGGTTAAAACAGATAAAAATAAAGAAGAGTAAGAAAGAGTGAGATATATAAATATAACAAAATATAGAAAGAAAAAAGGAGAGAGATATAGAGAACAAGAATAACAGAGATAGAATGGAGATGAAGTAAAAAGAGAAGGGTAGAGAAGGAAATTTACATAGATGAAGTCCATGTATGATAAACATGGCATTTGTACATGCATCATCAAAGTATGAAGAGACAAAATTGAGTGAAACAGAGGAGGAAAGAATTTTAAATTAATTATGAGAAACGAAAATAGGTCACTTGGCACTGAAATTCAATTAAATACGAAACACAATGTAACAACTTGATGCAGTCCATTGAAATAAATGAAACTTATATAGTCAAACCTGCTTGAGTGACCACCTGTATAGAAACACCACGTGTCTACAAAGACCACATTTTTTTCTTCCCTTGAAAACGGTTTCTCATTGAAACATTGACTAAAGGAACCAGTACATAAAGACCCCCTGCCTATAAAGACCACATTTTTGTCTCCCTTGGGTGGTCTTTAAAGACAGGTTTCACTATACATACAATTTAAATATCCAAATAAATTCCAAATCTTAAATTCCCTCAATTATTTTTTTTTTTCAAGATTCATTAATTGTTTGAAGATGCTTACACTTGAAAAAAAGCTTTTAAAAAGCAGTGCATCACTTACCCTTCCATCGACCGAATGAGACACCATAGCAGCGTTTGGGTCTTGCTCGATGAGATTATCATTAATCCTCTTCAGCGTAGTCCACAGCTTACTGCCAAGTGAGGCGCCACTCATCGTACTCTATCACACAAAATCCAGATACATGTACAATATATTAATTACCTACATATACTACTAGGTTGAGCGTAATTTGCACTAATTTGACAAGCTTTATCCATTCAGTTCTATTCTCTATGATCTTTGGGAGTTCCTGCCTTGGTAGACAGGTGTCTTTTTCTAAGTGGTCAATGTAAGTCACTGCTGGGCACCCTATGGTACGTTTGCCCCTTGAGGGCTCCCAGAAGAGCATTTGTGAAATGATTTCACTCTTGCTCCTCCAGCAGTGCCCACTGAAACGGAGGCGGGCGGTCTCTCAGTCTGGCTGAGATCGGTGTGATGTCCCTATACAATTCTATATTTGTCATATGGTCCCTCCAGTTGACATTTAATACCCAAGTATAGTCATACCTTCTTTAGCGACCAGCTTTATAGAAAGACCACCTGTCTATGAAGACCACCTGTCTACAAAGACCACTTTTCATGTTTCCCTTGAGTGGTCTTTATATACAGGTTTCATTGTATTTGCATCATACTTTCTATCTTTAAAGAGACTATAATCAGGCTACATATTTAAGCAGCACCATCTCTTGGGCTTGTGTATGAAAAACAACATGGCACACATGAGAATGTAAAGACTACAGTACAGTTTACAACTAAATTATTCATACCTTCACCAAGTTTTGTAAATATTTGAAACACTGGGTTTTCCTGATTTATGTTTCATGAGAATGTGACATATTAAAGCTTACATCTAAAAGTATTTAACAAAGGCCATAATTTAACCAGTCCAATTTTTATTCTTGAGTTACAAACAACAGGAAAACATCATATTTACAAGGGATAAGAATAATTCAGTGGTCAACTGTATATGTATAATTGAAAACAATTTTTTTTTTAAAGGAAAACAAAACAGGAAACGTAATTGGTGATGATAAAACAATGCTTGGATACAGTTTGATCTAGCCCGAGTAACATATATCTCATATTAGTATTCAAAACTGTTACTAAATAAGGCGCCACGTTCTATTTCGAATTTGTGTAATTTCTATGAGCGCTCTACTCACCACGTCTGTTGCAAAGAAAGTGTAGACAGCGAAGATGTAATAGTCAAAGAGTTGAGACATGCAAAGCACTACATCAAAGGCTATCGGCTTCAGGACGGACATCATATTCATGTACTTCCCTGAGAAAAAAAAGGAAGAGAAGGAAAAAAATAAAATAATAATGAATCACATCATACATTATAAACAAAGATGTGAGATGGTCTAGTGGCAAGTTCACTTGGTCAGCTCTCTGTCTTCGCCTACAAACTGGCTCAGGCAAACCTTGGTTTGAAACAGATACACCTCTTTTGGATGGTGACGTTGAAGATTGGTCCCCAGACATAAATAATCATATGTGATTGATACACGTCTGTAAAAACCCAATTACCAACACACAGGTCCATGTAGTAGGATTAGGCACATAATGTTTAAAGATTTGACAGATGTCTGAAGTGATTCTTCCTCCTCTATAACATAGATTTTAAAACAAATTAGAATGGATTCATGACATGTTTAAAGGAGTAACAAATGTTTTTAAAATTCATAAGTATGTCAAACCAAACAAGATTGTTTCCTACTTTGTGTGAGTGAACAAATTTCTTTAACATTCTGGTTACTTACCACATAGCCGGAGTACTGTAAGTGTTGTGTTGGTAAGGATGGGACCTTTGTTGTAAGCTCTCTCTGCTTTCTTCTTCTTGAGAGAATTCCTAGTGTTAAATTTGATTTAAGAAAAAAAGAAAATGAAAGATTCTGTAAATATTAATCTTCAAATTGGCAATTTGTGAGAAAACACATCCTAACTTTTGACAAGTTGGTAAACAAAACAAATCTTCAAATCGGCAATCTGTGGACCAGAACACAGTAGTTTCTCACCTTTTGACTGGCTGTTCTCCTGTCTTCTCATCCACAAAATCCTGTTTGAGCTCATCAGGTACATCACTATCATCAGAGTCTTCATAACCAAGGAACTTCTCATTCTCCGGCTACAGAAAGAGACAGATAAAAGACAGGTAAATGTATTTATTTTGTAAAGCGCTTTGATCAGTTGTAAATTGGATATAGCGCTATAAAAGAAACAATTTATTATTATTATTATTATTGTATCATACTCATCATAATTTTCTTGCCCCATACGAAGCAGAGAACATAGCCTGGTCTTTCTCTATCAATGAATTAAAGGTGGTCTGTAGAAAAAAATAATTGCCATGCCAATATCTTTGATAATAATAGGCATTTTAAAGCGCCGTCTATCTAGAAATATTATTCCGAGGCACACTAATTATTACCCCAGCTTTAGCCTAGCTGCCATTACAGCGCTCTAGCATTTCAAGGAATTAATTCCTGCCAGGTACCCATTTACCTCACCTGGGTCGAGTGTGGCAAATTAAGATTAATGCCTTGCCAAAAGACATTAGTGCTGTGTCGGGGATCGGAACACGACCTTTGAATTTCAAGTCAAGTGCTTAAACCACTCCACTACGACGCTTTACAGTAATGAGACACTTTGACAAGTCTAGTCTGAATATGATTACAATTACTTACCCCATTCGCGGTCGCCTCATCTTCTTCTTCATCGGAAGTAAACTGTTTTTCAAAGGGGCTGCCATGCTCGGCATACTTAGAGAAGAAGCCACGCCCTGTTGGAGAGACCGGTACCTTGCGCCCATCGGCTCTGCTACCAGTGGTGGAGGTGATGGTGTCGTACTCCCGAAGAAACCTGAACTCATGGAGGCTCTGGAAGGAGAAGTTGCTCTTGACGGGACACATCTCCCAGCCTTCGTTCTCGAGGAACATCCGAAGCTCGTCCATTCTAGCCCTGAAGTACACATCATGATTTACCAATGGATAAATGCACATGAATATTTTATAATCTCCCCAATGAGGCAAGAATTTCTGATCATTAGACTGTAGTGTTATGAAAACTGTTAGGAAAACGCAAAATTTGATTTCGATTTCCAATCATAAACATCTTGATAGTCAGACAGGTGATCAGCTTGTAAAAGTCATGAGGTTCCTGATTGACCTAAGGTTAATAATTACCATTACAGTACGAGCTAAATCCAGGATTTTGTTTGGAATCTGAAGCAAATATACCAATCCCTTTAATTGATGTGAAATGACAAGATTTTTTTTTACATTCATCTCCCAGCCTTCATTCTTGAGGAACGTCGGGAGCTTGTCCATTCTAGCCATGGAGTACACATCATAATTTACCAACAGATAGATGCACATGAATACATAATATAAGGCCGCAAGACTTTAATTGTATCATCTCTGTAAAAGAGCAAGAATTTTTTATTGTTACATTAAGTTAAAAAAACACCTAGAGCTTGTGTCAGATATAATATGCAGTGAAATTCTTAATGGATGTGAAATGACAGATTTTTTGTAGTTCTTTAATATGAGTTAAGATATATTTCTTGAAACGCCAAGCAAAATGCCAAGTTAAATACTGACTAAATCTGTGTACTCAATTGAATACGCCCCCAGGTGGGTTTCTAAAAGTAAATACATGATCCTTAATATAGCACAGCCATCAAGTATCTAATTGGGCATGTCCTGTCAATCAAAAGCTGTAAATCTATCTCTGGGTACGGTCCTTCTTACCTATGATAACTCTTGAAGTAATTCAAGCTCTGTTGTCTGATTGAATCATGAAGACCTTCTGATTTACTGCCGCAGAACTCCTCTCCTACAGATATCAACCTGCAAGAAATTGTGGTAGAGAATATTTGTGTTCATTCAACTGAACCTCTCTCACTCAGCTACCTGGGCCCTGTTTCATTAAACTTATTATCTATAACAAATGCTAAATTTCTATGACAAATTTGCTATCAGCCAATCAGATGCCACGATTTCAGTAGCTTATAACAGTCATTATAACTTGTTATTGATAACATGGTTTATGAAACAGGTCCTAGATTCCCCTCATGATAATAAGTTCAGTGAAACCTGTATACATGATATGGAGACTGCTCAAGGGAGACAAGAAAAATGGTTTTTATAGGCAGGTGGTCTTAAAGTACAGGTTCCTTAAGAACAAGTGTCAATAAGAAACACTATTCAATGGAGAAGAAAACAAATGTGGTCTTTATAGACAGGTGGTCTTTCTATACAGGTGGTCACTAAAAACAGGTTTCACTGTATAAAATCTAAAGACATGGCCAGAATTCTGATACAGTTTGGGGAATTTGTAGAGCGACATCATGTGGATTCCTAATTAAAGGCACTATAGAGAACAATACATGTAGTAAATGCTTTCTATGATTCATAATGAAAGGACAGGCTAGCTGTATGCAATCTTGAATAGTTAAACCCTACATGTAAATGTACATGTACATATATCTAGCTGTATTCTTGAAAGAAGAAAAAAAAAAACCTTATACCTGGTTTAACTTCCATAGGTTTATAAAGAGCTGAGTGTCAACCCAGATTTAATCAAACAAATCACAGGTAATTAGCAAAATCAATTCAATAAAAATATATTTATAACAACGGTGCTTATAAAGCGCTTACCACCAAAGTCTCTAAGCACTAAACCATGTATACTTTTGCCTAACCACACAAGACAATCAAATCAGAATGGTCCTGTTCTGCCATCGTCTCATTTTATGAGCTCATATAGGCCGAGGCACTTCACAAAGTTTAAGTCATAAAATTAACATGGTATTAACAAGGCAATATCTCTGATCAAAACAGATCCTTGCAATTACCAGACAAATCAACGATGGATTCCTAAACAAGGGAGGGGAGAATGTCACCCACCTGTTGACAAGATCAAGGACATAGATGAAATCATCGTATTTGAAGCTGGACAGGTCAGTCCCCTGAAGGTAGGTCTTGACCTTTTGCTGGACATCCTGAGAGTGAGATACAAATAGAGAGAGAGAAATAGAGTGAGAGTGAGAGTGAGAGAGAAAAAGAATTCATCCATGCATGCTCATACACTGTACATACTTGATCTAAATTTGGTTAGAATCCGCTCAACGAGTTATCGCGGTAACGAAAAGCGGGAGGAATGGACAAGCTGATTCTGACCAGCTCGCAGAGAGAGTCTGCTGACTCAGAGCATTAAAAAGTGTTTACATGTGAAATGTGGTGAGGCTACTAATGTTTACATTCTGCATCAATTTCATATAAATGTGAAGACATGGAAAGAAACTATCTTGCAGGAAGTAAAGATGGTAGGCAAATATTTTATAAACTATTATGGCCATAACTCTGAACCATAACATACTGTTTCACTACCACAGTACCGCCCCCACCAAGATCACGATTCAGAGGGCCGTGAATGTGTCAAAGCATCTTCTATAGCAAACTTCTTTTCCACTAGTCTTCTATTCAGGAGCACACAACTTACCTGCCATATCCTAGCTAGACCATGCTCTAGTTTCTTCCTGATGTACCGTCTACTAAAGGACTCCTCTACATCGCTAGCCTGTTGGATTTCCTCTGTTAAAATATACAGAAAAAATTCAATGTCAAAAGAAAACAATAACAGCATTAGGAGATGCCCTATGATAGAGTGTTCTCATCTAAAATTGTTGAAATTTTAGATATTTGAAACGATTGTCATATGATGAGGTATTACAGTACATGCAGTGGTGCAGCATGGGCACTGGTATCATAAGGTGAGCTCCAGTTATACTAGGTGTAAAAACATGTGTGAAAACAAAGCCACTGTGTACTTCTTACTTTGACTTTCCCCCACTACCTAATAATTCCTCTCTTCTCTTGTATTTTAGGTGGGGGACTCGGGTGAATGGGCACCCACGAACATGTACGTATTATTAGACTTGATAGGTAGAGGATAAGGTCACTGTATTGTCTGAGCATTGTGCAAACCTGATTCTGGCGTAGCAGCCTGGTCGGTGCTCTCCTGGTTGTCATGCCATTCCAACGTCTGGTAGTAGCTCTTCATGACTTCCCACAATGCCTTGCATAGATCCACCAAGCAGGGGATGTACGTCTCCTGGGTAATTTGCTGGAATAGCAGGATTTACAGGAGAAAACACAAGTAAATTTTCTGCCCAGTAATAAAAAAATATTTGAAAAACTAAGGCAGAGCTGCCAACCTTGTGTAACCAAAAAAAGGAACCACAACTGTGCGGTGCTGCGGCCTTATTGCTGGCAAATACAGTACCCACTTTGTTACAGAATAATAGATAACTGATCAGAAAACAAAATTTAGCACTTGACGCTCCAAAACTAAAGGGACTATTAAATCAAGACAAGGTACAGCTTATAGGCCAATTTATTTACCAACAAAACTTAAACGCTCTCTTACCGAGCACAGATCCCTGTACGGCATCTTTTGGAACCTTGAGTCGATAGGTCCACTTACGAGCTGAACGTAGCCCAGAATGATCTGGAATGCTGTGTTGTGTATCGCACTGGTGAAATGCATGTGAAGTTGGTCCATAGCGGTCTACAGGAGGAACAGGACAAAAGCTCGATTTCAATTATTATAATTCTGTTGTTACAACTGATATATAACTATGTAAGTTGTAATTTTCCTTGAAAATAATTATCAAGTCAAGCCTTCATCAGATGTGATGCAGCAAATCATCTAAAAAAACAATAGAGCCAAAATTTGTTGTGGACTGCAATGGTGAAACGCATGTAAAACTAAAGTTGGTCCATATAGTTGTCTGTAAAGGCTCATTTGTAATACTCAGCAAGGTCACTGACTGATTTCCATAATGTCTGGAATAATACCTAAAGGGCATTAAAATGATGCAAGCTAATGCCCTTCTAGTGCTCAACAAGAATATTCTGGTTAACAGTTTTTTAAATCGCACTTGCCATATAGGTCTATTGCTGTCTATTGAGCAGCAAACAACAGCATTTCAAGGAATTCCTTCCTACCGGTACCCATTTAACACCTGGGTGGAGAGTGGCAAGTGTAGATCAATGTCTTGCCAAAGGACATTAGTGCTGCGGCAGGACTCAAACCGTGGACCTTGTGATCGACAGTTCGGCGACATATCCACTCATCCACGATGCCAGACTCGTAATAGATTCACTAACTGACTGACTTGAATTGTATCTCTACAATCATAGCTGGAATAATAGTCTGCAGAAAGATCCTGCTCTATTTCCAAGCTCATTGTGAAACAAAGTTACAAAAATCTTTATAAATTTACATGAGTACACAACTATATGGTAGGTTTTGTACTTACCTGTGTTTTGCCTAATAATCTATAAGCCATCTGTAGCTTCTCATAGTTCTTGATGTCAAAGTTACTGCACGTCTTGGCCAGGGCATTATCAAGTTGTTCCTATCAAAAGAGATCATTTATTACAGAAACATATTATTATACAACAGTGTCAGTACAAACGTCATGTAATTATCCTCATTTCCAATTTTAATGATGTTAGTCTTTCTTCTGCAAGTATGGTAAAAGATAAAGACCAGTTATGGTTATGCGATTGCATTGTGGAAGAAACGTTGTGGAATCGATCAGAAAAGGTTGATCATCTAGCATATAAGTATTGGTGTGTACTGCAAGGTTCTGGAATCATCAAAATGATAAGAAATTTGGCCCAGTCTTGGTAAAGTTACAAGCACTGTACACAGAAAGATGTATATGGGACTATGCGACACGTGCGCGACACGTGCGCGATATCTATCAGGTCCAAATAGATATAATAATTTACCAAATATATCAATTAGTAGGCGGTTTCTCGGCAAAATTTGTATCATCACATATTAGTCAAAACATATTCTTTCACATGAATCATTGGTAATAAGAGCTTCCATTTCATTTTTTGACTCTTTAACTCTGCATAAGACTGTTGGGACTGCAAAAAAAATAGTATGACTTTGCAAGATTTGATTTAGGAAGTGTAAATACGCATTCTTAGCATTGTTTTGTTCAAAAATATTAATTTGTCTTATAGTAGTCACCCGAAGAATCAAAAGTGTTTGAATTGATGCAAAATTCATATCATTGCAAAGGGGAAGCCTTACTGATCAAATATAACAACTTCCCTCTTCAAAATATGTTTGTAATCATCTCTCAAAAAATGTTAGCTTTGAGATCTATATTTTCTGCCTTCAGCGGTCCTCCGTAGAGCGTCAAGATTTGTTACGTCACATGATGCGAGACACAGCTTGCCACAAAATTGCTTTTTACGCCTTTCCATGATATTTATATGATTTTTCAACAAATCCTTCGTGTTTTAAAGACCGTCAATACTACTGGGCCAGAAGGGATTAGACCACACAGCGAGGTCACTGACAGGTGGCTTTCTCATTAACTCAGCTCTCAACTAGCATAAGAAAAAGAGGATCATGGGGGACCGATTGGGGAATTTTTCTATATAGAGGGAGCAAGTATCTACAAGTAGGACAGTGGGGCTTTAAAAGAGAAAATCTTTCCATCCATATATAATTTGTCCATTATTATCAGTTGTCATGAATTTTCTTCGGGTGACTACTTTAACAAAAATTTGATTTGTGCAATTCCAAATTGAATAAAATACAACTGCAGCACATACCTCGATCATTTCCAGTGTATCCTGCAGCTTGGAGCTTAGTTCACTGTAGAAGAAAATAAGGAAGTAGGATTGAACATCAATCAATGTGATCAAGTATTTGAAACATCTACATTCTGAGTTACATCATTTATATATTTTAAATCAAGTAACCTTTATACTGATCAGGGGCAGAGTGGCCATGGGGAGTTTGGGAAGTTTTTCCCCAAAGGGCCACTCAATATTTTCACTTGGGGCCAGTCATTTTGTCAGTTGAGGGGCAGTTGATATGTTAGCTGGACAAGTCATATCAACTGCCCCAACTATAATTCAGATGTTGCAATCAACCTCCGAACCGAGAGAAAATACTTAGATAGATAGACTAAAGATATCTTTTGTACCGGTAATCCTTTTCCTGGCTTACCTGATGCATTTGTAGTGTTTGAAGTTACTTGCAGCCCTCTGGCATTCTTGGCATAACTGAATGGCACCAGGGTAGTCTTCTTCCTGTAGAAACATTATCAAAATATTCTCCATAAAAATTTGGTTTGACAGAATCATGAAATGTTAAGTGAGCATTGGTTAGAAATGCACTGCATGAAGTTACTGTTGTATCAAAATACAAATTGGCCGAGTTTCTTTCAAGTTTACTGTAACTTAAAGATAAAGACCAGTTTTGGTCATGCGATTGCATTGTGAAAGAAACGTGAAATCGATCAGAAAAGGTTGATCATCTAGCATATAAGCATGGTGTGTACTGCAAGGTTCTGGAATCATCAAAATGATAAGAAATTTTGCCCAGTCTTTGTAAAGTTACAAGCACTGTACACAGAAAGATGTATAAGGGAAAATGCACACGTGCGCGACACGTGCGCTTATCTCTCACACAGCAATAGATAAACTAATTTACCAAATATATCAATTAGTAGGCGGTTTCCCGGAAAAATGTTATCATCATCTATTAGTCAAAACATATTCTTTCACATGCTTGGTAATAAGAGCTTCCATTTAATTTTTTGAAATTGGGGCGTTTCCAATACTGGTCTTTACCTTTAAAGGAGTAAAATTTATTCTGTATGCATGAAATACAAGTTTGTAATGGTTGTTAGGCAAAACTGGTCTACAATCCAAGGCACACTAGTGAGCTCTCATGGGGAATTCAACACCATTTGGGTGTTTACCCAATAACAGGTGTTGTCAATCACCAGGATTGGCCTTCAGTTTTATGACCAACAGGCCTTGTGTAATGCTCTGTATTTTCCACCAATCGCCCCATATGGAAAAGTCATTATCTTACATTTCCCACCCAAAGACTCTCCTAGTATAGAGGCTAGGGCATATTTCTTGATGGGACTACAGGTTTGCTGTGTGCGAGAGTTACACACCCATTCATGGTATTACCATCAAGTCTGGTGTCAGCGAACTATGATCTACTTTACATAGGACCTGACTACCATCTTAAATCAAACTAACCTGTCTAAAAACAGAATAAGATGAGTTTTCATTATTTTCTAATATTGTTCCATTTTTGTAACATAGCATGAAGATATATTTGCATAAGAGAGATCAACTTACTTCCATTAGCTCTCGCAGTCTGATATCTGTTCTTTGCTGTGGAATAGAAAATATAAGAGAGATGCAATTAACATACAACTCTCATAAACCTTCAGAGAAATTTAAATTCATTATGAAATATCAAAAAATGGCCCCCAAAATGTATAAATAAAATCAATGGACAAAAAGAAGACTGGCAGCAATTTTCTCTAAAGAATGAAATTCATAAATACAAGCAATCATACTTTAGAGGCTATGTTTTGAAGGATGTAGAATACAGGATTAGAAAAAATAGGGAATGTATCGGAAACTACAACACACTTAAAGATAATCATTATGATTAATGAACATATTTCCCCCAAAAAAATTAATAATTTACTTCATAAAGACAAATTCAGGCATAAGGCATTAAGCCACTTAAATATGTTTGTAGCATAACAGGATGTAATATGCACTTCACATACCGGTACCTATATGTATCTTGTTACAAGCAGATCAGTGAGTATGCATATAGACTATCAGTGCTTGAAGCTACAGCTAACAACTTAAGTATTCATATCCTTACCAAGGTTTTTTTTAATTTTAAGCAGAAATGGATTTGTCCCGATTTGTATTTCTTGGGAATGTGACATAGTAAAGAGTTTTTCTCAAAGTTTTCAACAAAGGCCCTCATTCAACCAGTCCACCTTTCGTTCTCGAGTGACAAAAAAAACACAAAAAAATCAACAACAACAAAAAAAATCAAATTTACAAGGGGTATGAATAATCTAGTTGTAATAACAGTTTGCTACTTGGTCCCACAAATATTAAACTCTCGCCTTTCATTTATACCCTACTGTGGTCACCACCTTTGTTGAAGGTGGTTTATTGCCTCATTTCTCGATGTGGCTTTGTGTGAGGAGTACGAATGAATACCTACCAGTGTATCGATGGTATGGAGGGATTTGAGTAGTCCAAGGAGCTGCTGTTTCTTACGGTGGTTCTTCAGGATCCTGAGACTGGCCACAGTGAAACCTTGCTTGGTCATTGACAATTGCCTGATCATTGGAGGGGGGTGGTTAGAAAAAGTCAGATTCAGTGGCATACTACAGTGCAGTGACACCTTTGGAGGACCTACATGTTCATGTAAGATTCAAACCCATTATTTTCTAAATATGTACAATGCTTTAACAAGTGACAGCTATACTGCCCTTCCATGACAAAACAGCATAACTAACATTTCTTGCAAAATTATATTATTAAGTGTAGATGACTTAGAACATCAAGTTCCACATGTAAAACTAAAATTTATGGTTTAAAACATACTGTAATTACCTATTTTGATAAGTCAACACTGAATTAAAACACTTTTTATTAAAACACTTCCTATATCAAAGAAACGCTAAAATGTCAAATATGCTGTTTTGTCATGAAAGGGCAGTATACACTTATTTGCGCAACATCTTGTGGTATGCTGGTCTACTGGGACATCATTATTGAATTTTTCAGTTCTTAAAATTCAATTCGGGTTGACTGCTTCCTTTATATTACTCACACTTTGCAATTAACACAATTCTTTATGATACTAATAGTGAATCTCAATGATAAACTCACAAACCCCGACACAGCATGAAAATGAGTGTGCTATGACAATGCTGAACATTTCCTAATGTTTTGACTGTGAAAAACATACACATACCTTCGACCATTCATGCAGATTACACTTGCTTTCTGTAGTGATGCTTGTAACTCCATAACTCTTTGTAGCTCCTAAATAAATACAAGATTATAAACAAAATTATTCTTTGAGTATGAACAAAAATAAAAATAGAAGTTTACTTTAGTTCACGACTCAAAAACAGCTACTTCATATCAGTGTAGGACGTTCCTCCACACTTATTATTTTTTTGTTTTACTTGCAGAAGAGAACTTATTTTTACATGTACCATGACCATGTTCTGTCTTTAGTAATAGAGAATTAAATTTCCTCTCAAAAATGGATTCTCTGTTTATTGACATTTATATATTATTACTCATTATTACCCGTATCAGACATCTGAGCTGGTCATTTACAAAACCGTATTGCCCTAGTTTTCACTAGCAGTGGGACCGGAGGGGTATATTCTTTGTATTTTCCTTGGTCTCCCTGCGCGTATTGACTTTGCGTGTAGAGACGAGTGAAAATATACCTTGGTATTTTCCACGGTCTCGCATCCGGCCGGGCATCTTGTATTGACTGCGCCGTATTTTGTCATTTTCATTGCGCATCTATTATGCGTACGAGAACCTGCGCACTTTGCGCGCACTCTATTGTGACGTAATAATCACACCAAATGCACACAGTTTGCACTGTATCGAAAATTGTGTCAAGCACTGGATGCACAGTGCTGGTTTGACAAAGTTTGTTCAGTTCTTGAGATTGTCATGGTGGATGTCTGTATTTGCTCTAGATGTCTGATTTGGATAACAATAAAAATATTGACTGGCTTTACTTTCGGGGGATATCAGAAATATTGACCGCGCTAAGACCATATTGCCCTCGTCTTTCGACTCGGGGCAATATGATCTGAGCTTGGTCAATATTTCTGATATACCCCTCAAGGCCAGTCAATATTATATAAATATCATACAACATTCTATACATGACATTGTACTCTGTCACATATAAAAATGTACATCAATATCGTGACTGTCATTATAAAAACATTAAATGATCAAAGCTCTGTGATGAGTCCTTCAATCATGCCCATGACTTTACAACAGGCTGCTAATGTGAACAGTACACACTTTCTTTGTGAGTCTTAGTGATATAAAGTAATATAGAAGTTTTCAGTTGTAATTGTAAATGTAATTGTTTCTGTTCTTCACCTTGGTATATGCAGATTGGTTTTCCAAAACAACATCTGAGAATTTCTTGGATACCTGAAATAGAATAAGAAATGTATTATCAAACTAAATAATAGCACGTAAGGAAACAGGTCTCTGAAATAGTGCACAAAAATCTATGTTACAAATGATGTCTGTTATATAGTGATAGTTACACAAACTTTCTGGACAAATTGGTCAGCTCAATATTGGATTATGAAAAGAAAAAAAAGAAAGAAAAAGAAATACCAAGGACAGAGTCATGTACACATAATTACAAGCATTCTCCATCAATTATTGCAGAATCTAAATTGCAAAAAAAAATTCTTCAAATTTTATTCCAGTTTCATATACTGTATACATGTAAATGGGTACATGTATGTTGGCTTCAAGGAGCGTATCAGGACAATCACCCCCCCCCCGGAATATTAAATTAAATTAAATACTGTCCAGAAAGGGTTAAAGCTCTCTACTCACTGCTTGCAGCTGTCTTCTTAGCTGGTTTCTATCCTCGTCAATAGCAGCAAGATCTAGTTGTTCAGATGTGAGTTTCTACATAGGAAAGTTAAAAGAGTGTACATTAATGTGTCAACAGTTTGATTTAAAAAAAAAATTGTAAATCGTAAATCAAAATATTAGCTGATAAAAGATATGAAATATTGTACAGTCAAGAAAATATGTGTTTTGTATTGATAACTTTGTACTTCAATTATGTTTGTTCTCACAACTTTATTTTGATGCTTGAATGTAAATAAACACCTCATTTGAGGCACACACTAAAAAGAATATATTTACCCGTAGCATAGATGTAGAAAATGCAAAGATTTAACATACCTCAAGTTCGTGGTTGCTGCAGTCGAAAGTATCCTCTCTGAAATACTGTTCTTCTATGCTTCCAATGACCTGTTGGGAAACAAAGGTCAAGGGATTAACCATGTTAAGAAATGTGGACTTTTTATATTCAATTAATTGTAAGAGATCTAAGTTAATATGAAAGCATATAGTCTAAAACTATTTGCATGCGTAAGTATCATTTAAACAGGAGAAAAGTTTGTTGTTGTTGTTTGTTCTTTTTTTAAAGCATTTAACAATTGATGATGCATTTAAAAGGAAATCTAATACTGCTGAATAGCTTTTAACGATGCTTAGCACAAGAAAATGATTGTAAGAAAGATTTATGTTTTTCTTTCTTTCTTCCTTTGAGTATTGACTCCCTCCAGACTGTTCTCATGTCAACAATGTTACAGTTTAAAAAAACAACCTAATGCATACATCCAAGGAGGACAATAGAAATGGATATCTTTCAGTTTCAAAACAATGTTATGAATACAGTCAAATAGGGCAATATAAATGGGTTCCTTTCAGTTTCAAAATAATGTTATGGATACATCCTAAGAAGACAATTTAAACGGGTCATTTTCACATATGTTGAGAGCCAGAGGAGCGTGAACCTGAGGAACTTTATATAGATTTTACACCCTTCTGCCTCTAAGCAGATATTAGGAACTAACGTTACCTCTGCTTCTTCAACAGGATCGTTGGAAAACTCTCTGTCCTCCTGCAAACGGAAACAGAAACAAAGGAAAAATCACAATATTGTTACAAGGAAGAAAAGTTGTATTGTCCATGAAAACATACAAAGTATTAATACAGTGAGTTCACTTTCATCTTGTGTAATAATAGTTTTCTTTGTTTGAGACGGATGGTGGATCTACTTTTCATACATAGTCTTAACACTTCAAGAGAGAGAATTTTTAGATGACTTGAACCTGCATTCCTCCTTATTTGCAAAATTGTAATACCAGTGTTTACTGAACAATTATCATATTAAGCTAATCATTTTCACATATTTATGCAGTCCATGTTCGTGCTAATGGTAGATTTTCAGACCTCTCAGCCCAAGGCTGAAGGAATGAAGCACTGACAAAATTGCCACCAGAAAAATAATGGAGGATCAGGTATGCATCATCACAAGTCTTCAAGAATATAATCTTCTTTCTTATAGGAGCAAACCACCTATGAATTATACTACACTGTTACCTTTGTGTAAACTTTCTGCACATCTTCAGGGGGAGGAGGTTGTTCTTCGACCGGACTCACATCTTCAAAACTGGTACTGCTGCTACCCTGAATGATGAATAACAATAACACGAGGTCATGGGTCAATCGCAGTCATGGAAGTCAATGGATTTACACACAGGGATAAAATTCATGTATAATAATATATCTGTAAAGCGCTTACAGACATTTGATCTAGATCTAGACCTATAAAAGCGGCAAATTATTAATAGTCGGGAGTTAATCGTGCAAAATTGCAAGGATAAATATAAGATCAATTTTTTCAATTGTGTGTACAATGTACTATGATATGAAGGGGAAAATTTGTTTCTAAGACCGTAACGTTACACTAAAAATGAATAAAGTCTGACATGAGCAAAAATCATTCGGAAGGCCGAAGGCCGAAGGTGGACAAATTCATCTGCAAAAACACTATGGCCTTCCATAAGAACATCAGATGCATACAAACTGAATTTAAGTGAATAAATATGACGCCAGACTAAGTTGTCTTGCACACAACAGTGACTGTTTTGTCCGCCACCACAACAGATTCCTGAATTGTACCTTACATGTAGCGACACTCCCCGCCGTAGCGCTGGGATGGTATGACACCTGTGATGCGATCATTCCACGGGCACAGGAGTACACAAATATCATGCAAAATACATGCGATCAAGCATTCTATATCACAATTTACACATCAGCAATACTACATCTACAAAAACACATACCTGTCTACTCAACAGAGTCTTAAATCTCTTTTTCATTTTCGTGAAAATTGATTCCCTTTTCGGTGGATACTCCCCAGTCAGTCACAGAGAAATATGATTTCCGAATGTCGCCCTCAACGGTTGTATCAGAGAAGCGAGTCTAGTGAGGGGAGGGGTAAAAAATACATAAATCAGTAAAATAATAAATATATTGTTTAATATGGAAGGGATAAATGTAAGAAAATCTTATGTATGGGTCATTCATGCAGTAAAAATCGATTTAAAAAAAACATATGATGAAGAAAAATACCTTCAATAATATGGGGACAAGGCACAAAGGCGTCTCGAGACATGTATTTTTTTTAAAGCGAAACTTGTAAGACCAGGGCATGTGAGTTAAACTATCATTTTTTCCCCATTCGAAAAAAAATATCCACTAAATAACAACAATAAAGATTTGCATGTAATAGCCACTTACAGAATCACAAAAAAGAGGGGAAAAACGTCCGACTAAATTTTGCCAATAACTCAAGCTTCATACAAGACTAAACATATTGCCCGCGTTCCCAGATCTAGTCTCCTTCTCTCTCTCTCTCTCTCTCTCTCTCTCTCTCTCTTTCTCCCTCTCCCTCTCTCTCTCCCTCCCTCCCTCTCTCTCTCTCTTTATCTCTGTAGTCCCAGATCTCAGCAGGAACTTATTGTAAGTGACATTCTTGGCAAGTAAGAAATTCTCCGCAATTCAATATCCTATTTATCCATATCCTGTAAAATTTTTACCAAACCCACTTAAAAAGAAACATGACAATTAATTTGCACAACTGATTTGTTAGGAAGCCTCTCATTTAAAGCGTTAAAACACTTCCAATTGATTTATTATCGTGGCTAAAAGCATATTAAACGGAAGCGATAAAATACTCTCTAAAAAAAATCTAGTGATCACGGACGTCACTCCTCTGGAGAGTGAAAATGTAGTGAAAATATAGTGAACATTCACTCTTTTCTTCTTAGAGAGCACTCTAAAATCAATCGATTTTCACTTCTAAACAAGTGATCACGGACGTCACTCCCAAGAAAGTGAAAATAGAGTGAAAATTCACTCTTTTTTTTAAAGAGAGTATGGAAGGCTGGGCCCCGTTTTATAAAGAGTTGCGATTGATCCAAATCAATCGCAAGTCCTCCACTCACTTGCAAGTTTACAGTTTTCTATCTCTCATTTACATAGTTGCAACTGATATCAATCGCAACTGTTTATAAGACAGCGCCCTGGTGGTAAAATTTGTTCTCCCCGATAAACTATCCAGTGCTGAATAAGAATTATGTGATCTGGTGAATGTTTATCAGAATGAATTTTTGTTTTCCTTCTGAAAACCGTTGATCCTCACTTTTCTTTTTGAAAGTTGTGAAATCGAAGATTTAGGTGAAGAATGTATTCATAATAATTCTAGTTTGAATAGGGAGCGCATGCCCTCATGTCCCCCGTAGCTACGGACGCCAGTGGAGGCAACCTAGCTTAGCTTAAAGCTAACTGAATCAAGATCCATGAATCCCATGATACTAAAGACCCCACCGTTGCAATGAGCTCATTACAAACCCATGGCTTTTTATGTGAAGGTTATTCTGGGCGTGGAAACGAGGGGGGGGGGGGGGGGGTGCGTGGCAGTTCTGGGCCCATTCTAGATCAAACTGTCCTCCGCCAGTAACCGCCTAATAATCAAATACACGTATACATTCATGTATTTTGAGGCTTCGATTGAAACTGTGAATCCTCGGAGGTGACTGGCAAACTTATTTTCCGAGGGGCGCATAATAAATTGCAACCCCAAATCAAGTACGACTGTGATTTTGAGGACCAAAGCCTACATTGCAATTGAACAAAGATGGCGCGCTTCAACTATCACGAAAGAGACCAGTGAGGACTGAAAAGACGTATTTCGACTCTTTTCAGTTCTCTGAAGAAAGACTTGTCAAAAGGCAATGTATAGTTTGAAAGCTATAAGAGAGAGAGAGAGAGAGAGAGAGAGAGAGAGAGAGAGAGAGAGAGAGAGAGAGAGAGAGAGAGAGAGATATATAGGACGGGAGAGAGACATAAAGAGGGATAGGAAGGGAGAGAGAGAGAGAGAGAGAGAGGGGGGGGGGGGAGTTGTTGATTGACTACTAATTAATGTTCTCAATGTGCTTTCTTCTTAAATCGGACATGTGAGTGTACTACTTATTAATAGAGACAGCACATAGCTCATATTGAAGACCTATACCCTCTAAATAGTAATTCAGAATAACACAGATACAAATATTTAGGTCTATCATATTCATTGTTTAGGAGAATCTGTTGATTATAAGCATATAACCTGATCTTGTTATAACAACACCTACCAAGTGACACCATGACAGTTACAAAAAATGTCATGACTTCTATAGGAAGAAGCAAATTAAACATTACATGACAGTCTTTTGCACATGCTGCTAAAACAATGCAAGGCAATTAGAGGTTTGTCATTATATGTCGAGAGGTAGAAGTAATTTACACTCGACATAACAGCAAAATATAACAGCCTACATGACAATTCAATAATTGTAATGATAATAGGATAGAGTAATTCACATATCACGTAACATTATCTTTACACAAGGTGATACCAGTGCCATATCCACCTGTTTCGCGAGTTCACAAGGTCACTTCCTTTTATCTTACCGTAATACTCCGGTCACACCAAAGTGACCGGTTTCATAGTTACCTCAGTCGCACCAACGAGACCGACCGTAGACCGTACTCGATCGGTTTGGAGTCGCGTTGTACTCGGTTTCATAACTCAGTCACACCAACGAGACAGGCTTAGACCGTACTCGATCGGTTTGGAGTCGCGTTGTCCTCGGTTTCATACCTCAGTCGCACCAACGAGACCGACCGTATCCCTACTCGGTCGGTTTGATGGAGTCGGGTCGTATATAGTCGGTTTCATACCTCAGTCGCATCCACTTGACGAGACCGACCGTAGACCGTACTCGGTTGGTTTGGAGTCGGATCGTAGTCGGTTTCATACCTCAGTCACATCAACGAGACCGATGTCAGACCGACAATAGAAAAGGCAAAATGATATCGGTTTTCGATCGGTTTTGAGTCGGTTTGGGGTGTAACTGAGGTATGACAAAAACCACTGAAACTAGATTAATATGAATAACAGGTGTCCCGATCCTAGTATTGTTTGATTTGGTAGTTGGTGCCCCATGCAAGCGCGTAGCCAGGATATAATTTTAGGGGGGGGCGGTAATGAGCACGCAAAGCGTGCGAATTGAAAGAGCGCGCGTAGCTCGCTCCCTAGGGGGTGGGTGCAGGGAGGGGGAGTTTCCCCCCCCCCCCCCCCTCCCGCGCGAAGCGCGGGAGCTTTGAAAGAAGACGATTCGTTGTACCTTTCTCGACTCATAATCCTTGTCTGAATTCAGTCCGCCCCTCCTGCGCATAGCGCGGAAGCTTTGACGTATTATTAGACAAAGAAGACGATTCGTTGTACCTTTCTCGACCCTTAATCCTTATTTGTATTCAGTCCCCCTCTTTCGAAGCGCGGAAGCTTTGACGTTTTATTAAATTATTAGAGAAAGAAGACAATTCTTTGTACCGTTCTCGACTCTTAATCCTTAATTTGAACTCAATTTCCCCCGTTCCTCGCGAAGCACGGAAGCTTTGACGTTTCATTAAATTATTAGAGAAAGAAGACGATTCGTTGTACCGTTCTCGACTTCTTTCATTTTCTTTTCCCACGTCCTCTTACTTTTTTTCTTCTCTTTCTCTCTCTCTTTTTTTTTTTGGCCGGCGTTTTTTTTTTAGGGGCGACTGGCCCCACCACCCCCTGGCTACGCGCCTGGCCCCATGCGGATATATTTTATGACCCTAAGAATAACTTTGATAGCGGTGACTATTCTAAGCTCGCATAAAATGTTTTAAAAATCCGTCATCTCCCCCTACTGGTCTGTTAACATGTATTGTCACTACTTACAAAATAATTGAGAAATGACATGCACAGTGAATCTCAAATTATCAGTCAGTCATCCTTTTTTCCCTTTACGTACAGTATACCTACTTACTTTTTAGAAAATTAAAAAATTAAACGTTTTCCTTATTTTACCGAAGTTAGGAGTGAGGACTTCGGTTTTCTTGAAATATCAGGCCTACAAAGAACAAATATTTGTCGACTGAGTAATGGGTTTGATGAAGGCTTCGAATCACGTCTCGATGGGACAATGGCACAGAAGAATGAAATTACAAGCATGCATTGCAAAGGGTAATAATAATAATAATAATATTCGGCTTTTATAAACATCAACGATTGTGTCTAAGCGCTTTACAGATATATTATTATTACCCCGGTCATCGGATTCAGGCTTACCCGCACACAATGTATGTACATTCTCCACTCCCTAGTGAGCATTCCAGCCAGGCGTCATTTTCACAAGCGCACACTTGCTCATCCAACCACATTAACTTTCGCGTCTTCCCGGGTACACATTTAACACCTGGATTGCCAAAGGACATTAGTGACGCGGCGGGACTCGAACCCCGTACCTGCAGTCGGGTGACTTTTCCACTAGACCACAACACCTCTACGGCTAGAGAAAGTTTTATGATATAACAACTTTGCCGAAGAATTCCAATTTGGGCTTGCATATGTAGACCCTACATAATTGTATAGATTTGAAGAAAGAAAAATAAGATTTGGCGATACGCCCGTGTTATTGTTCTTTAATCTTTTGTGGTATTGTCCCTTCGGTCAACCCGTCGATGAGTTGGTAAGTAATTTCGCAAATGTTGCATTTTTTTTCATTTCCTGAGGATTTGTTTCTTCTGGTTTTCCCTTTGGGGAAGATCCATCTGACTTGTGCAAATCCGTCTTTTCAAAGCCCAGAGGCTATTAACAGTTCCTGTAGTTTTTACTTCAACCGATATAATAGTTCTTTCATTCTAGCCCCTTAGTCGAAATCCAGGGCGAGATGATAAACATTGGTAAGTTTTTTTAAGAATTGATAATATAATTTTAAGATTTGTGTAGCTTTTGATCAATTGTAGAACATTTTCTAATAATTTGAGTGTTATTTTGATATTCTCATTCGTTAATAAGAATAAGTTTGCACTGGATCACATCGTTGTGTAATGAAATGGGTCTGAATAATGCAGACTATTCTCGCTTTGATTTCTTTATCATTACATGCACGCAATAAATAAAACTTGTGAGAAACTTTCGCACACATGTTCGCCAAACGTACACAGTGGTAGTGTGTGTGTATGAGCAGAGTGGCACAACCGTGTGTGTATCGCTGTGCATATTTCTCAGACCATTTGACAAGTGTATAGGAACCGAGACGCACCCCTATACCGTTGTCAGGCTCTTGTTTCCCCGAACTTCTGGGGCCTCTTTATGCGTTGACGTCGCGAGGATTTTTCTCCATCGCATCGCAGTGAAGGAGTGCTTTGTGAGCTTGTTTTCTGGTCTAAATCAGGAATAATGCAGTTTTGGCCTTGATTTCTGCTCTATCTGTGAGGTAAATCTTGGACTGTGGTTTTCGTCACAAGGGGCTGCTGTTTCACAAACATTTGAGCATTTTCAGCGCTTTGGATAAGGGATATTAACAGTGTTTGAAGCCAAGTCACGAATAGCCGATTGCAATCGGATTTTGCACGAAACATCATAACTTTTTTGAATTTGGAAGTATCATACAGCATAAGTAGTCGGTAAGTAATTTGACACTGTGGACCCAGTAAACTGAGAGCTGTTGCAGCCGAGTTTTATTTTATGCCTTGATGGTTATTATTATTATCCAGCCATTGTTAATGCATTGTTTGAATTGAAGATATCCTCTTTTTTTCTTCGTAAGGTCACTTCGATTCAATTCATCGGATGTTGATTATTGTATTGCTTCTGAAGAGGAAAATTCAGGTCTATTACCCATGGTTGGTTAAGCCACTCAAATTAAAATTAAACTGCTGTTGTGATAAAGCGTCAACTTTAAAATACACTACTAAAAGTATTTTACCTGGTATACATGAACGTCCAGCGCCTAGGGTTAGGGTTATAGGGTTATATAGGGTTTAATGTGTATTAAAAAAGTATACTTTTCTTTTGGCGGTAGCTCCGATTTTTTAAAAAGGATTTGGTGTTGTGTAAGTGTGGATGGATGGTCAGAGAGGTGAGACACTCACTGACTGTCGCTCTCCGCTCCCGTGTATTTTTTTCTCGCTGACAGGGTTATGGTTTATAGGGTTGTGGTTAGGGTTTTCTAAGAAACTTTAAAAAGTCTTTAGATTTAGCTTCATTGGTGGAGCAGTCGTCGTCAGTCTATACAGACGTCTAGTTATTATGTTGGTGGGAGTATTCAAAAAGTGAATCCTATGATACTAGTTTCAACTTTCAAGAATATATGTTTTCGCTTTTAATGGAATTGCTTGTATGGGATTATCCATGCTTGTTATTGAGTGAATATACAGCTGTTATTGACCCACGACTGGACTTCAAATTCTATGCCGTAGCTAATTGTAGACATGGGGCTTATTCATTGAATGCGCAATCAACGCACAATACAAGCCGATTCGTTCGATTACCGGATAAGGAAAAACAAAAAAAGCTCTTCCTGGTAACTTTTGTGATAAATCCTTTCTTAATCTGGTGCTTCTATTGTTCTAATCAGTTCAAGCGACGCACTTTGATCATGTGAAGACAGTTTAGGCCTACATGCTGGCCTGTAGGTCATAGGTTTATTAGCGGGTAGGTCAAAGCTTGAAGAGTTATTGTAGTATCCCCGTTATCCCGTCTTTCGAAGTTTCGAAGAATCTATATCGTGTTTACATCTCGCGTAAATACTTGCGGGAGTTATTAGAGGATAAAAGTTTGCAAACTTTTCTACTGTGAAGCGTTGTCATCAAGTGGAAAACTTAATTCTTCTATGAAAATTTGATTATATTTAATATGGCACTCAAGTTGAGGGGAGATGGCGTATGGACATTATACCACTTGTCAATAATGGTGGATCCAGAAGTGGGGGGGGGGGGGGGGGTCTAGTGGGTATATACTGAAACAGCGTGCACAGACCGAAACTGGTTGGGGGTCAATACCGCCTCACTGAGCTACTGTAGTTTTCAACTGTGAGATATATATTATATATTTTACTAATTATTACGAATATCAAATCTCAAATATCTGAGATGTTTGACATATAAGTTGATGAAGTTGTGACAAGTTAAACGCATTTGGTTGTTGTAGACCTAACTTTAAAGTTTTTTAGTACAGTTCAAATGGGAGGGGACCCTGCAAGGTACGTCACAAAGTTGCCAATTTGTGTTTGACTGATCGCATCTTCAGTATTTCATAACTCTAACTTTCTTATTTTTAATCGGTTTTTGCTGAAAAATTTCACTGACCCATTCCTCTTATTTTTTCTTCTTCTATTACAACCCATAATAGCAGGATACTCACATTTTAGTGCAAGCGTTCTAACTTCTGTAAGATCTCAAAAAAGGAAAGGAGACTTTTGGAAGCGATCATGTGCAGGCCTACACTACACAGATAGTTGGACGATTTCAAATCTAGCCTGTCACCAGACATATTGGATATACATGTACATGTATCCTGCCTGCCTCTCATTGAGAGTGTGTGGGTCTACTCTAATTGAGTCGAGATTTATTCCTTTTGAAATGGGAGGGGTTGGCTAGTGAGAGATGCTCTAAATAAAGGACACTGCCCTAAACCACTAACACATTAAATGTTTAGGGGGAATACATCCAGTTGCCTGCATGGGAGATAAGTTAATTGATTTATTTAAAGAGAGGGTTTAGTTCTGGGAATGATGGAAACAAAAGTTTGTGTAGTTCTAATGCGGTACCCATGACTTACAGCAAGATTGATGATTCCAGTTTCTTCAAAATCCAGTCGGATGCACAGAGCTCAACTTTATATATAATTGGGGTGCAGAGTTTCAGAAGAAAAAAATTCGCCCCAGAACAAACTACTTGCGGTATCATTTTCTAGTTTCTAGTCATCAGTTTATGACGAACATACAGACCTTGAGAGGCCCCGCCCTTCTCTGTCTCTCCCTTGATCATCTTACAGACAAACTCTTATGTCGATCAGGTGGCTGATCCAGGATTCTCTGCTCGGAGGGGGGGGGGGGGGGGGCAATCCGGAAATTTCTCTGACAACAAAAAATGTCATCAGGTTTTGGGGTGCAGTTTGGGTCCAAATGTGCTGCTGAGGCCTGAGGGGAATAATTTCTTTGCATACTCAATACGTAGAGAAGATACATGTATGCCAGATTTGGTTTTGAAAAAGGGGATACCCCCCCCCCCCTGTGCACCCTGTATGCGACACTGTACACGTTTGCCCTGTTACACTTCCAATATTATCCCCAGGTCATATCGGGTTGTATGCCTATTTCCTTTGAATAAGTCTGTTAGGACATGGAGAGACAGGACCTGAGTCATAACTGCAGTCAGGCCTACATGTCTACATATTCTCCTCGACGCAGAAACTATTGCCAAACCAGATAACAACCACCGACTGATCCAACTCTCGATGATTCATTCCCAAGCTCGTGTGATTCTCAACCCGCAAAACCCCTGCTCAGTCAGGGGCGGATCCAAAATTTCGTAAAAAGAGGGGGGGGGGGCACGAAATGTCTACATTTTAAACCAGGGTAATATTAATTTTGTCTATAAGCGCCATGAGCGTTAAAACATGCCATAACTCCTAAACATTAATATAAATAAAAAAGGGGGCAGGCACAACTTCTCCAACTTGTGTACTGAATGTACATGTATATGTATTTGACTTTGGTTTCGAAAGGCGGGGGCGGGGGCGGCTGTGCCCCCTTAATTCCGCCAGGCGGTGTTCAATAACAATATTTTGATATTACCACCAAATCGAAAGTTCGAAACTCGACATCTTGATTCCAAATTCACAGGGGTCCGTCCGCTTACCTGGGGTTTTTGGTCGCTTCGTCTACATAGTTTCCAGATATTCACGTGAAGTGTTTTAACAACAAAAAAAATTCGAGATCATACGAAAATAGTCATATTGTCTCATTTTCTGTGTAGCCAGGTGTCTTGTTGGTTTTCTGTCGCAGGGGTCCGTCCGCATACGTCCGCTTTCCTGTTTTTTCTTCTTTCTTTTTTTCGGTCGTTTCGTCTGCATAGTTTCCAGATTTTCGTGAAAAGTACTGAGATAATACATGTACGAAATTAATCTCATTGCTTCATTTTCTTTGGAGCCAGGTGTCTTGTTAGTTGTCCTTCAGAATGACGAGTAGCTACTAGAATGATCGTGCAGCGCTTTTGTTTTGAGGAAGTTTTCGAGAGTGGAGTGGTCCTTGAATTCATGAAAGCCTCTCGGTAAGGATTCTCGACAAGTCACACAGTGAAACCTGCATAGAAAGGCCACCTGTTTACAAAGACCACCAACATGGACATGTATATCAAGCGGTCAACCCTATTGATTATCTTCGTCAAAGGAGAAATGTGCGTTGTATACATGCAGTGGCGTACGCAGGATTTTTTCAAGGGGGGGGGGGGGGGGGGGGGTTAAAATCGGGTCCAAAATTTCGCAACGACTCAGGAAAACTTGAAAATCGCGCCGGCCAAAAAGTCGCTCAGTGGGGGGGGGGGGGGGGGGGGGGGGGGGGGGGGGGGGGGGGGGGGTAAGAGGACACTTTTTTTTTTTGGTCTCAAAATTTGAAAATTTGACATTTTGCTCCGTCGGGGGGGGGGGGTAAGGTCACCCTTCTTAGGTCAGCCATGGGGGTAACTTTTTTATTTTTTTTTTATTTTTATTTTTATTTTAATAATTAAAAAAAAAAAAAATCCAAAGGGGGGGGGGGGGGGGGTTTAGGGATTTTTTAGGGGGGGTTACACACATAAAAATACCAAAGGGGGGGGGGTTTAACCCCCCAAACACCCCCCCCCCCCTGCGTACGCGCCTGTATACATGTAGCATAAAAAGGCCACCTGTTTAATTCTTGGCCCTACATAGATAACTATATACATGTACATGTACATTTATGTGATATCGAAAAGAAGGTGACCTGTTAACCCCCCCCCCCCTCAGTGTTATTTAGGGTACGTGTATGCTTGTTCTCTCCCTTTGAAATTACCCCCCTTTCTCAGGCTTTTCCTGCCTTGGAGACCCCCCCCCCCCCTCCCCCCTTAATCCGGAACATTGCTCAATGTACCCGGCCATCCATGATATTCAAGATATTTTAGAACCCCCTTTTTAAATTTCTCAGGAGTCCAAAGAAAGAGAGAGAAAAACACCCCCTTTTTAATATTTTATAACCCCCTTTTTTAATTGGTCATGAATCCAAAGAGAGAGAGAGAGAAAAAAAAAAACCCTCTTTTTAATATTTTATAATTCCCTTTTTAAATTTCTCATGAATTCAAAGAGAGAGAGAGAGAGAGAAAAAAACAGCCCCCTTTTAAAATGAAATCTCCGGATGAAAAGTCAAATACATCCCCCTTTTTATAATTCTCGGGCCGGTCGCGCGAAAAGTACCCTTTTACCTGAGATTTTTGGAACACGAATGCGTTCCTCCTACCCCGGAGTAGGGGGGGGGGGGGTCTGTTAGTTTTCAAGCATCTCAACTAAAGAAAGCAGTCACTGAACCTCTCTGAATCGTACGCGCAAGGTTACAAGGAGTTTATAAATAATATGAAGGTTATTCTTAATGGGGTATTAAACTAAAGGTGTG